AAAGAGCGTTCGATCTCTCACCTCAGCGTCTCTGTAAAAAAAGCCCATTCGTGACTTAAGATCTTCGGGATGTCTTTTGGCATCAGAATCACTCAGCTCGCACACCATATTGTCTGCTTTCGCCGATGGACCGGTGTTAAATGAGACACACCGGTTGTCCATTGTGCACAGATTTTTACAGGATTCATGTAATCCTATAGAATGGATTTTTATCACATGACCTTCCAGGGCAAAGCCTCGAGTTGGTTTGTTAAACTTGAGATGTCGGCACATATCTGAAGTGGAGAGGGAATGGCCATTATGGCATACTTAGCTTTTTCCCACAGGGGCCTGAAATCAACAAAACTAGTCGCAAGGAAATTTAAAAAGTGGTTCCCCATAGGTTTTAGGTATGCAAATCATCGACCCTTCAAACTTGATGTCAGGAGAGAAAAAATTGCAAAGAGATTGCATAAAAGGAAACATTGTGCAAAAGTTAAACAATAACAAAATTCTAGCAACAAAATTCTTGCGGTAGAAAAATTGCCGGCCCATCTTTATTTTCTAATGAATCAGTCATTTACAATCAACTGTATCCGAATTGAGTGCTGGAGGCATGTTTCTTCAAACAACTCCAAGAGCAGTGCATATTGCAAATCTTGATTTGCGTTAAATGCAACGCAGGGATGAAAATCTACCCATGCAAAGATAAAAGTTATCACAGGAAAACAACTACGATCCATGAAACGCAACCCATTTATGACTAAAAAACCCCCTTTCATCTATGCATTCAGACGTCCAACCGTCAAGTTAATAATCCTTTTTCAAAAAGGCTAGCAGAATATTTTATAGACGTTAAGTGTAAATGGAAAAAATTGAAATTAAAATGAGGATATTCTTCAGAGCTGGTTGGAGAGTGTTATCACCTGTTTCACTGATTTCATCGTTAAGAGGAGTAAGCAATCTATCCAAGACAATTTTCCAAAACGCAAACAAATGATCGCGCTCTGTTTACTGAGGACCGGCGCCATTCTCGCGATCTGTTAATTAAAATTAAAATGACAAAAAGTAACGTGTATTTGTTATGCAAACTATCCTTAAGACCCGCCAATAAGAAGAAAAAAAAGATAACATTTGAAAGCTTAATCACATCCTTTCAAAACCCCATCGTATATTTAAACCTAGTAGTCTCCTTTTTCAAATTGCTTTTTCATCATGATTTTGATAGTCCACATTTGAGTGTCTATAATTATACATCGAACTGACTTCTGCACGAATCTTTTAACGAATTATTAATGCGGAAAACTATAAATTATTAAAAGATCATTTTCGTTTTGGAAAAAATATATTTCTACTCGAAATTAATCATCAGACTAATAAAAGCTAGTTTACTGCTTTTTTTTTAAATTGTCTTTTTCTTTATTATCCACCTCCAAGTTCAATCGACCTGACTTTTCCCGCCCTCGGGCCGTTTCAAACCAATGCTCAGTCCTCTCCAGGGAGTATTTTTACTTCCAAAATAACATTTATTACGAATCGCAAATCATAGTCGAGATTTCCCAGCAAAAAAATGAAGTAACGAGAACTTAAGGACAGCTTTTTAAATTCTAAGCTCTAAACCTGGAAAATGAACCCATTAATCGGATAAAATGATGAAATTCAGAGTGCGTGCCAACTCAGCGTTAATTAGTATCTAAGTCATTAAAGATAATCTGGCGTTCTTAAAATGCTTACTTTTAAGCTAGGTTTGAATTTAGATCAAGAATAAACAGTTTGTCAGCAAAAAAAATCAGGGTTTTTTCGTTTATCTTAAATCTCAGGCACAATTGAAAATAAGATAAGTCATTGAGTTGTTTTTGTGGTAACTGTCACTCCAAATAGTGAAATTCATCAGTTTTTTAATTCAAACGGATTGCTTGAACGACGTCGGTCCTCAGTAAATAAAGCAATCATTTGTTTGCGTTTTGGAAAATTTTCTTGGATAGATTGTTACTCCTCTCAACGATGAAATCAGTGAAACTGGTGATAACACTCTCCAACCAGCTCTAAAGAGTATACTAGGACATAACGAGACTCTTTGCGGGGGCATTTTGAAGGAACTGGTTTGTGTCTTCATCAGAGTACATACCTTCCTCTGCGTCCACTGTTATGGAGCGAAGTAAAATCCTCACCAAAATGAAGAGGAAAGTTTTCATTGCCAACGAGCAGCAGTTTATTTTGTAAAAGGAGAATGGTATTCCACAGTGAACTTGGGCTGGGTGATTAACTTTTACTTTAGCATTTTGTATGGCTGCAATTTATCAACCTTGTTAAAACGACGTGAACGTTTTAAGTAAATAATTTATTGGAAATGTGGAGAGCAAATCAGATTGCGGCAAGGGAACATTGAAACTCCATTGAACACTGCAATAAAGAATGTCTGAATTTCATCAGATTTGTTTCGAATGTTTAGCATAAATATTCGAAATGAAGTTTGCCTAGGAGGCACTGTACAAACAACATGATAACAAGAGAGGATAAGCTCACGCAATAGTTATTACATTCTCGCAATTACCAAGTGCGGGGGCTGCACTGGGTAATATTATCCCAAATTCGAGCCAATGACAAGTTGGAGCATATGCTTCCTTCCTTATTTGAAAAAATAATCTTAAAAGATTGGCTTTTCACTAGAAACTTGTCCAAGATGAAACTGTTCTCCCTTCTGAGATCTCAAAACTCATAGTGACTGATAGCGGTGAATTAAATCCGTGTTTATGAGAGCATATCGAGCCAATGATGTAAGAGGAGTAGGGAGAGGGAATTTGGAGAAAGTTTAAGGTTGTCTAATCAACAGGCGGCATGTAGCATGCATACAGAGTAGATTCTTCTGTTCCTTAACAAGAAGCGAGCTCGAGATTTTTATGAACAAGTATATTCCATGTCTAAATGCTTCTGTTCCGCAGTAGATCACAGATGACATCAAAACGAGGCGTAGCCAAGTGTATCACCGACATTCTTATCGTATTCTGACGTCTCCTGTGTTCTGTTATTGTACAGACTGACGGCAACATGGAATCTATTTGTTTTGCATAGGTAATCACATGATTTCAATTTGGAATAAATAAGCACAAATAATTTTTTTTCCAAGACTAACAAAATTTGTTAGTTTGCAATTTGTGGTCTTTGAAAAAATTTGCAAATGCTTATTTATTCCAGATCGCACGAGAAAAATCATGTGATTACGTATTAATAACATACATGAAAAAATACGGGATGGCTTATCATAATTGCACAGAAGCAAAACGCGCGCATCAAGTGCAAGTATAATTTATTCAAACCCTGCAAGTGACATTGTGCATACGATCATAACAATAATGTACAATGATATTTTCACATTTTTAAGGCGCAAAAAAAGTTCAAAGTCCGACTAAACAGTTCAAGGAATTGTTCGGTCAGGTTTGTTACTTCGTTGCACTGAATTAAACCTCTTCTGCATTGAATCACCTGAAAACTGCATTTATCTTAACCAATCAGAACAGAGTAAATTTTAACTCGTGAATTGCGCGCATGCGCAAGAGCGAGTTGTAGATATGATGTGGAGAATGGCACTCGCTCGCTCGCTCGCTCGATTGGTCGATTTCTGTAAACTTTTTTTCGATTTTAGGCTTCTGAGAGCATTTGATAGTTTTTGGCGAGTAATAAACAAACGAAATGGCGACCTTTGTTGCTAAGAATAGTGGTAGGGTGATAAAGAAGCCAATGATAATCTTAAAAGAGTTTTTTTTTCGTTTTAGTTTCAACAAGCGGCGCCAGCGACTAGCAGGCATGCAAGGATTCACACTGAAATAATAGAACAACCTTCGTTTTTCATAAAATTGTAATTTACAATCCTTGAACTTGAAAACAATCCGAAGATTCATTGAAAATATCACTTTCTGCGAAGCGCTCAGAGTTTACAGATGTTCAAAAGCTTTTTCTGTTATGGCGTGAGATTGAGGACAAAATCGATCATTACGCTTCGTATCGTGAGTTTTTCCTGTTTGAAGCAACAAAAGATGCCGGCGACTGACGAAATTATAAGTTATCACGAAAATCAAATAACACCTAAACAAACAATTTTAGCCACCGATTTTCAGTGAATTTTTAAAGAACAATTTTCTTTTAAGTTTCATGACAATTTGAAGATTAAAAATAAATTTCACGTACTAAAATGCGAAAGTTATACACCACAAAATTGATAAATAGGCCTGAAATGAAATTCTATCTTGTTCTTGATTATACGTTGCCTAGCACGTGACTAAAACTTACCCAGGCGGAGATCCAAAATGACGGTGGCAGTCTTGGCTTAGTTATACACTCAGAACTCGTTCCCGTTTGTCTCATATGATGAAGAGGGAATCGTTAATGTTTTCATTAAGACAGTATTGCCTTGGTTTTCTAATATTTACAATGATAGACGCTTAATTTCACCTTTCACCCACATTTACTTCAAACCTTTTCTTTTGAACCAGAAACAGAAATAATATACGTTTAAAACTCATGACATCATCCACCCTTATCAAATGCAATAGCATGATCATTTCAATTGTAATGCCTTCTCATCCCAGCGTTACTTTGTTTCTTTGCGGCTACATTAGCGAACACTGAACTACTGCTCGTACTCTAGATATGACAATCGACCACAAAATTCCCTAAACCAGATAACATTAAACATAATCCAAAAAATCATGTGTCAATTGACGAGTTTGCTCACAGAGCACTTTGATTTCATTATCTTATTAATATGATAACAAAGAAAAATGTTGTAAATAGACGCAATTCACGTGTCTGTCCTCCAACAGCTCAAAGGAAATAACCATTCGCAGTATCCCGCATGTGTAATGGAACGCGAGTAGAATTCACAATTAAAAGCATTTACCGAGTCGCTTTTCTTTAATGATGTTTCGTAGTATTTTGGCTGTTCCTTCCCTGTACCACCATTACGTTCCAATTTCTACCTGCATTTCTGTAAGAGGTCAGCGGTAACTATACACCACACTTAGTCGCATCTACCACATTTATTGTTTTACTTTCTCCTTAATCCTAATACAGGCCTTACTTAATATAATAACAATATTTAATAATTATAAACTAATGGTTATGTACAAACATGAGACACGTAAAAAACACAATCTGTACAAAAGGCAGAAATGCACAGAGTCCACCAAGTCGCAAAGATAAAAACAGTAGAGAGGTTGCCATTGTGATCAAATGAAATCCTTCAAGAACAAAAACACATACAGTTTGGTCCATATAAAGCAAAAAAAATTGGTATACCTCTTTCTTTTCCTTTTAACGTTCTATGAGGGAGAGGTATGTAATGTGAAGCTATCCGAAGAACTTATCTCAAAAAGATAAAGAACACCTCAGAGAGGTTCTTTAAATTCCCCTATAAATTCAGCCCTATTATAGGAAAATAATCGGATGTCCACGTGTGCACATTTCTTTTTTGAGAGTCAGTTTAACCTTTGTTGGTTATCCTAACGAAACAGATATGATTCCAACTGTTAAATGATAAAATTTGAGAATTCGGAGCATCACCAAACATGCATGACGAGCCACTTACAACACAGTATTTCATAATCGGAAGCTTAAAATTATCTTTTAAACGTCAGTGTTTTGGAATTCTTTGAATGACAACAACCAATACTGTAAAAACTTAACTTCTAGCACCAGATAGGACGAGAACCACAGTAGTTGTATATGTGACTACCAAAGCTGATGTAACTGAGAAAAATAGCTTTGATCAGTGTTGCATCAGTGTCACTAAAACTGACACCCTAACTTTAATAACTGGTTAGTGAGCTTTTTGATTAAGTGTTGCAAAAGTAAGATCAAAAGCAAAGTAAACAAAAAGAAAATACCTTAAAGAGCTCATGAGAACTCAGAGTAACATCGACCAAACGGCTTGAAACGCGGGAAACTGCGAACAACCACGTCATGGTTGGTTTTAGTTTTGTATATGATTGGTTGAGGAGAGTGGCACGAGTTTTCTGAACCAATCACAGAGCGAATTAAAGCAAAAACAAAGCAGTCCCAGATTACTTTTGACACTCCGCTTATGACATGAAGCTATGGCACGGTATAGAAACGTAATGCATCACTTGATAAAATGTTTACTTCCGTGATATGCAGAATGGGTGTTGAAACACCATTCAATGCTGTGAATATCTTGGGAAATAAATGAGATATTTTTGAAGGATTCAAAGGATCATTTTCATAGAATTGCTTACAAAGAATTTAAATCTAATTTTTTGCTCTTGACTTTAGATGTCTGTTATGACTGATTAACAGAGAAGAAAAAGGATTCATTGGCTTTGAAAGTCAGAGTTTGCTTGTTGCTGAAATACAAGATAGCAGGTCTGCACTATGTCTAGGTTTATCAAATAAAAACATCTCTGTGACTCTGTGCATTAGACAACCTTTGAAGTTATAAACTATTTCTCAAAACTTTTCCTTCTACAGGCAATTTCTTGGCCAGCAACCACATGCATGGTTAGCTACAGTAAATGTGCCGCCCTGCAACAACACAGCAACACGCCAATGTGGGTTTACCACAACGAGTGAAGATGTAGATTCCGACTGAGTATGGACCTTACATCAGTCACAAATCTTAGTGCATCCAACATAGGCAATAGGTTTAATAATGCTGTATCTGAAGGATCTGCAAACCATGATTTGATTGGGATGGCATTGTCTATAAAGAGAAGAAATACAATAAAAAGTTTTTTATGTTCATTAACGCCCCATCTCTACTTTTCAGCTCCTATCCCTAGTCAAATCAAATATGCCCCCTCTTAAATAAACCCCCCGCCACTCTATTACTCCCCTCTTTCTATCAATCCCCTCTATAACAAGCCTTCCTCTCTGAAAAGCCTCCTTTCCTTTAAATCCCAGTTCCTAATAAGCCACCCTATCTACTACACCCTCCTCTCTTAAAGGCTCCCTCTCTAATACCCCCCCTCCTTTTTTTTTCTGAAAAGTCCCATATTAAGAAACAGTGGAATTTAATAACATAATGGGGGCAATGAGAGTGCATATCAGTAACCAAAATTGATTTAACCAGGACAGGCTATGTCTGCTGCTTTCTACAAACCTGGTTCTGGGAATTGCTAGAGTTTATTAGAAACTATGGGAAACAGTAAACCAAATCCACATTAAAATTACTCTGCTCTTATCCCTGTAAATGTCACAAATACAAACCCACGATGAGTAGAACGTAAATCAAATAACTTAAATACCTGGATTGTATCGATAAGCACCAGGTGAGTTGTCCAAAATAAAAACTGAAGAGAGGTCCTCATTGACCATTGATAAATCTTTAGTATAACTACCACAATCTAAAGTACAATGCTACAAAAAAAATTTGAAAAGACAATTTGAGTGAAGAAAAAGCAAGTAAACAGCTACAGAAAAGTGAACTATTAAACATCTGGTCATTCCCCAGAACTGCAAGGTGCACCATTGCTTCCCATAATTTTATGTTGGACCACAGAGCTTACCTCAAAATTGGTTCGTTTTACTAGATGACAAGAGCTTATCTCAGTTTTATTACACAGAGCACCGGGAAATATAGCTCAAATGAAGTAATTTGAAGGTGGCTCCTGGAAGCTTATCCAGTTTTACCAACTACTGTGGATAAAGAAACAGTGGTGGAATAGTGTCTCCCAATACAAGGACCCACCAAGCCTAAAACCATAACTTAGACTGTACAACCAGGTCATACAATAATTAACTTTACAGGAAAGACCAAGCCATTACAGGACCACAATCTGGGTTTTGAAGGATCTGAAATCATGTTCTGACTTGCAGACACTATTACCTGTCGGAAATATCTTCTATTTAGCACCCCTCTGTTTTTATCCAGGTTATCTGCAACTGCAGCCCCATAGATCTACCAGAGATACAAAAAAAATTAGAGTAAAGTGAAAAAACTAAGATCATCTACTTGCCAACTAATATATGGTAAACCTTTTAAATTTCATTAAGACATAAGCATATTAGCACATGTATGAATTAGGCTTGTTCTATTTTCAGATCACATCTAATGGTCCATGCACATGTGAAAGTGAACCCTTTAACTCCAAAAAGAGACCATGACAGAATGTCTCCTTACAAGATTGTATATGTTATTAATAAGCAGACATGTGATGCAAATAAAGAAAAATACCATAAAGGAATCATCAATTAATTGAATATCAGATTCTCTAAACTAACATCATAATAATTATATGGCAGAAAGCAAGGAGAAATATGAATTGGATTTTGGAAGTGAAAGGGTTAAATATAGCAGCACCAGGTTTATAAGCTCTCACCTCCATACTAGCAGTAAAGATCACAAGATCATACCATTGACTCACCTGTAAACAAAATAACAATTCAAGTTAATCTCCTGTAATAAGAATCAACATCCATACACATAATTATACATATTCTTTTGATCATACTCTGACATAAGTAGGAAATATTGCCTGAGTTGCTGCATTTACAGCTATTTTAAGTCATAATGCCTCAGTATTGTTATATAAAACATTTGAGGAAAACATTCTGTTTATGAATAATTATTAGTTGCTGAACAATGGTCATATTAATTGCATATTTTTGAATGTGTTTGGTCTAGTGAATAGATACAATGTATGTTACTGAGTAGCTGTTTCCATAGAAAATAAACTTCACACTGCATAAGATTAATGGATTGCTTTGTACAGGGGAAGAAAAGTTGCCAATTTGATATTAAATGGAAACAATTTTCTCCCTGTTTCTTTCGTGAAAAACTCTTCAAACCACTCTTATTTTCTTGTATTGCAGAGTGCCCCAAGACATTCCCCTCAGGCTGAATTTTCTTTTTCATCTTGCCCAAATAAATTGGCTTTCCCTAGTGCCAACCTAAACAATGGCCAGGAAAGTTGTATATAATATTGTCATATCACATGCACATTTGAGCAGTGTTCTCCCCTATGCCGAGTAGCAAAGGTACTAAACCACAGTGCAATCATTTCACTGGTTGAATTTTCAAGCATTTCAAGTGATCTAACAGAGTAATGAGGGGTATTACAGGGGGTAAACTTCACCATTTACTGTCTGAAAAGGAGAACACTGTTTCAGATACTTACACATTCAAGGAAGAAGTCCACATGAGGTCTCTTGTGAACAAAAAATCTGATAGGGTGATGGTCAATTGTAACCTGTAAAAACAGCAAAAAAGAGAGATGATATTTACATTGTAGTATTAGCCTGTACACATTTGCATAGTAATTTAAGTTCGGAAGGGGATCCACGAATGTCCTGAGGGAAATCCTTCACAAAGTCTGGAGATAAACAAAATACAACACTTACCCGCAGTACAAAATCTGGAGGTGTCCCTGGTCTCACAGTCTGTCGTACAACACTGGAAAATAGTTAAAATTAATTATTAATAAACAAGCCATAATAAACGATTATTTACCAAAGTGGTAGTATATAGTAGTGGATATTTTCTAAGCCGCAAAGCTACAAGGTAAATAATTATTTGCCACTTTCACCATAATTTTATATTGGACCACAGAGCCTAACTCAAAATTGATAACAAAATTGATTCCTTGATGACAAGGCACAAAGCCACAAGGGAAATAATTATTCGCTATTTGTGCAATGTTTTCTCAGCAGCTGCTTGGAGGTGAATAGTACTTGGTCTTCACTTCTAAACTGTCCAATCAGTGCATGCAAAAAGTAATATTCACTTGCATGGTATATCTTAACAATGTATATACACTGTAGTTGGAAAAAACATTTATACAAACAGCTACAGAGTTTGACACCGCACTTGAGCAAGTCATTATGCAATTTAGGATATTGAAATGTATAAAGTGGCATTTCATACCCATCATGATGTGAATGAATGAGAGTTTCATCAAGGTCAAGCACTAACGTCTTTCTTTTCACTAGTCCTGTAAATACAGTTTTACAATGTTAAACAACTTTCTGTATACCAGGCACTGGTTATCATACAAACACAAGTACATTGCAATTAAAACAAATAAAGTAGTAACACCCAAGTTCACATTCACAATAAATGCCTGCATTAGAAGTCAACACTTTCCAAGTTCTCCCTCAGATGGACATAATTTTAGATGTAGCTTATCAATTGTAGAGTGCTTTTTGATTGAGTGTTGTAAACCTAAAACCAAAGTAATCACAGCAGCCAATCAAAAAGAAAGGAAAGTATCTTTAAGAGACAATGAGAACTTAAAGTAAAGACAACCACACTGCCTACAGTGAGGGAAAACACAAGCAACCAAATGATTGGTTTTAGTTTTGTATCCGATTGGTTGAGAGAGTGGCACAGGTAAAGCAAAAGCAAAGCATTATCCAGGTTTACTTTCAACACTGAATTGAAATCTATATAGCTAATTTCCATTCAGATCCAGAGCTTATCCCTTTTTCCCTACACTAAAAAGCAATCTTTTTTTTTTGGTGAAATAAAGCCATTATCTTCCCAATCACAAAAGTTTGCTTATTTTTTTCACTTTTTCGGTTGAGTAGAATACATGTATAACATGAACACATAACACAATGCCCATCTCTTGTGAGAACAGTCTGGTATTTTATATCTACCTATGCTACAAAAGTTTTGATGAGAACTATAGCAGCTTGGCTAGAAATGGTTCTTATTACAACCCTGATGAGAAGAATCCTATTTGTATTAACAGGTACATGTACATGTAGAGTACTTACTTAATCTTTCAATTGATATGGGTGACAGAGGAAGCAATTGATATTTAACAGTCTTGTGTTGAATAACCTGCAGAATAAGAAGAAAAATATATGTAAACTTAAATACCACATTGTCATCTGGGTGTTTTGTGTGGCTACACATAGTTTAGCAAAAGTGGAAAAAGCAAACACAATGCACACAAAAATGTTATGAATCATCTTTTCTCAAAGCAAGTTCCAATGAAAGAAGGCCATTTAAATAACTTATCCTCAAGGAAAAAATGACAGGTGCATATTAAGTTTTACTCAGAAATCAAGATTTTCACATGCATGCAGACCCGCTTGCACACTAGATTTCAAGTGAACATGCAAATACTTCTGGTGTTTGAAGAGATCTCATGTCACCTGGAATATAAATTATGGGTAAAAAATAAAATGGAAATGAAAGAGAAATATTTTGAGTCAAAAGCTTTATTCAAAACAGTTCTTGATTTGCTGCTAGAAGTGAAAAACATGCAAACTTCTGCCATGAACGAGACCCAAGCAGTAGTTACAACTCATTAATACTGTTTGGAAGATACTGTAGGTGTTTTGGAATGCAAACTCCCCAGCCAGTGGAAACAGGCACAGGTAAAATGTCTTCACAAGAAGGGGAATACTCTCGACTGTGAAAACTACAGGCCTATTTCCCTTCTTAGCATTCCGGGCAAGCTATTGGAGAATGTTGTAAGCCAACAACTTGATAACTTCTTATATAGCAACAATCTGATCTCCTTAAATCAATGGGGCTTCCGAAAAGGAAGCTCACCCGAGCTGCTCTTACTTTCCGTTACAGAACGATGGCGTTTAGCCTTGGATGAAAGCAATATTATTGGCGTAGTCTTTATTGATTTTCGGAAAGCGTTTGATTGCGTCAACCACACAGTTCTTATGGATAAATTACACTCTATAGGTATTAGTGGCTCTTTTTACGATTGGCTCTTAAATTATCTTGATAATCGTAAACAATTTGTCACCGTAAATGGTTCAAACTCAGAATTGTTGGAAATAGATACGGGTGTACCCCAAGGGTCTTTACTTGGTCCTAGACTTTACAGCATTTACTCAAATGATCTGCCCGGAGCCACAACGAACGCTTCCGTTGAAATGTTTGCAGATGATACTACTGTTTTTTGCATTGGAAATACTGTTGATGAAGTTTTATTTAAGATACAGAAAGCGATCGTTGACTTAAACAAATGGGCTAAGGATAACTTCATGACTATTCATCCCGCAAAAAGTGAACTAATGTTGTTATCAAAATCAAGATTCATCGGACCCCTACAGAAAATTTGTTTAGGGCAAAATGAGTTGTCATTTGTTTCCAAAGCTACATGTTTAGGGATTCTTATCGATAATAAACTCTCTTGGTCGCCACATATAAAATCTTTGAGCAATCGTTTTTCGGCAAGAGTGAAGAAACTCAAACACCTAAAAGGACTCGATAATCGCCTCTTAGAGTCAATTTATTTCAAAGGTATCATTCCAAGTATTGCGTATTCTATTGCATTATGGGGATCTTCTAAGTCACTTCAGACACTGGAAGACATTCACATTGGAGCCGCGAGATTTATTTTTAACCTAAAGGAATCTACCCCCAATACTGAAGTTCTGGCAGCGACAAAATGGAAGTCCTTATCATATTTCTATAAAAAGAGGATTGCCACTATATCCTATCAGGCATTTTACAATAGAGCTCCGGCTGCTATAAGCTCTTTGTTTACTAAACACTCTCCGTTGAGAAATCTAAGGGACAATCTGAAGCTATTCGTGCAACGCCCTAAAAGTGACTTCCGTCGATCTTCTTTTTCTCACCATGCGTCTGTTCTATGGAACAACTTACCCGTGTACTTGAAGAGCAAACCGAACATTGTTTCTTTCAAATCTGCTCTCAAAGCAAAATCCGACATTTTAGATAAAATAACATTTAATGGTTTACAGGGACTAAATAAAGACGTTGTAAATTACATATATTAAAGCTATTTTACTACTTTTATTTATTTTATTACTTTTTATTACTACTGTAAATCAACTGTATATTATATTACTAGGTCTTACATCCTTTCTTACTTACCATAATTTCGCAACTTGTTATTGTTATTATTTAAATTTTGTAGACACTCTTTAATTTTGTAGGTCCACATCAGCTTTTTAGCTGCCATTTATCGACCTACGTGACAAATAAAGTATGTATGTATGTATGTATGTATGTTGCAAAGGTAGCAACAGAGGATGGTAGCAGTCTTTTCAGCAGCAGAGGTTACCATAACAATGTAAAGAATATTTTTATATGTATCACAGCACTACACTGAGTGATTAAAAAATAATGAAACAACTTTGTGATGTGGCGTATATAATAACCATGTTTTTAAATTCACCTCTAACGACTTGCAGTACCTTTTCAACGAACAAAATTCCATTTTAAAATGTTTGATCACGACGAACTTTCGTTTCTGGTGGATAAATCGCGTTTTCTTGCATAATGTAAATGCAACTGTATCTAAAGAAATTAATCTAAATCCACAGTTTCATTTTCACAAAACCTTACAGAAAACTAACCCATTGATTTCTCTGAAAATCAGAGCGAGTAACCTGATTGTGAGAAATAATGAGCACTTCCATTTTCCTGTTGACATGCTTCGATGGATGTAGTCTTATGACAGTTTATTCTGAAAGGGATTACAATCTCTTGTTTATCCGACAACAAACACGCGAAATTATATTTGGAAGGAACAAATCTAGTACCATTAAGTCAATACTTAATCAGAGGCTGGCTATAAATTATGTCTGGTCAAATTCAATATTTCATTAAGGAAAATGTGAGCAACTCCATTGATCTAAAATCTTATATTGGCGCACACACGATCTACTGATATTACAGCCGCGTGCCATGGCAAGCTTGAATTGCGTGCATAAGCGTTTGTCATGTTAAAGCAAACAAATAAGATCGAATTTCTCGACACTTGGTGAAATCATGCACACCTTAAGTACACCAGCTTACCTTCTTTAAGTTTCGTCGCAAAACGTACATTATTAGGGTCCAAATCCTTATGAGAGCCATCATAAAAAATCGAATTCCTATACCATTGTAAATCCCCTTTAAACAATCCATTGTCGCGTATACCCACATTGAGAACTTCTCAAGAATACCTGAACTCAAATTCGTGCAAAAATTAAAAAGCTTTCGCAAATTCGGCGTCCAAACTTTAGAACTCATAAAGCTAAACAACTAGCAGACATGTTTGTGTTCTGAAATCGAAAGCGCATGATTAGCTGGGAACTAATGCGACCGCCCGTACTTCTGGGATATCCCGGGTAAATGGTGACATCGCGACTCCCAGCATTCCCTACGACCGTTTCAATATGGCGGGAGATATGACTCGTGGTCCGTCTAACTTCCCATAAAGTTGTTTCAAAAATATATTTTATAGTTGTCCTCATCGCACGAGGTAAGGTTTGTTTTGAGGTTATTTGCCTCCTGAGCCTTGATATGTAAGCGTATTTGGTAAAATTAACGACAAGTTTGCATTTACGAGATTTCAATCAACCTCGTGATAAAAAAGGAAAAAAAACACCGGAAGCTGAAAGTGCAAAACTTTACTCTCGGTTACTTCCGTCCAAATCTAACTTATTTAATCTTATGATATTGGTTGGCCATCCCTCAATCAAAAAATATATATCCATAGTTGAAAATTGTTATGAATTGATGCAGAATGAGCTTGGAAGTTTTTCATAACCTGAAAATAACGATTGTAGTAAGTGACTAAACCGTATTCAATTGTTTGTAATCAATCTGATTTTTTTTCTAATCCATGTATCCATTTTCTTATTTTTTTGTCAACCATTTGTTTTTCTATCAGGTAAGTCCAAGGGCTTCCTTAGGAAAAATTTATTTCTCATCGGCCGAAAATTGATCTTTAATAAAAAGTAATAAAAAGATTTAAGATTTTCTCCTGTAAAACGTTTCGTAACCCTTTCACTCCTACAAGTGACCAAGACAGAATTTCTCCATACAATATCAATAGACAAGTTGATGATAATTAGTTGATCGAGTACTAAATTCTCTAAACTAACATTACAAAATTTGTATGGTGGTCAGTAAGGAGAATAACAGATTTGATCTGGGAGTTAAAGGGTTAATTGCATTATACACTTAAAATTTATATTTCCCAGGTTGTAACTGATCATAATAATATTCTGGGAAGAATATTATTATCTGGAAAAATTGTACCATGGTGGACTGTGTAGGAGAAAATGGTAGCACACACTATCACTATGCAGCTCCAGGTTGGTATTCATGTTGATTTATCCAAAAATAATATTTTCCTCTCGGAACTCTTTTGGATAATGCTTATCAGTACATACCAGATGGGAGAATAGTGCTTTTTGCATGTGCTAATTGGCCAATTTGGAAGTGACTAGCTGGTACTATTCATTTCTGAGCAGCTGAAAGGATATATAAAATGGCAAGTCAAGAATTTCATTTCCAACCATTTCTTGGCATAATGACAGAAATTAACTAATTTGTTGGTTTTTCGGTGGTAAATACTTCAACAATTGATCGCCTTAGTTTCTGTAGTGGGTGGTATTTTTCTCCACTTCAGTTAATAATTCTTCATGTTTTCTTCAAATTTTGATCTTGGTGTATCTGATAATGATATCTTTGTATGATTATTTTAGGGAGGTACACTGGTCAGCCATCACTCATCACCCAACCACAGCTTTGTCATAATTGTAACAAAAATCAAGCTACAAAAATCCAGGAATTGAATTCATTTGAACCATCAAGAGAGGTGAAAGCTTCCTACCCATTAACACTATTCATAGACATTGGGATGTTTTGTCAAAATCATGACAAATTTTATTCATGATCAAGATTGGTTTTCAGTGTACAGGTGATGCTTTTTATAGGACTGTATAATAGGACTGTTTGAGCATCATGACTGTATACAATATATTGGACAGCACACAGTTTTGCATACATTCTTATGTATACTACTGGGTTCAATTTCCATTTTCACGGAAAGAAAATTTGAAGTTGCATGACTGTGTATACATGTTTGAAATACTTTAAAGATAGTTTTATTTATAAACTTTCATCATGTGTTTGGTAATGTTAATCACATAACTTTTAACCACTGGAACCAATTTTCTCACACTGGTACATTTTGTAGTCAAAAATGATTTCAGGCTAAAATGATTTAAAACTACCAATCATTTGATTTTTTTATTATGTTATATCATGGAACAGGGGGAAACATACAATTTTTCAAGAAGGATTGAAACATTTTGACCGGAAGTTCATTTTTAACTTCAGCAACCATAATATACTTAATTCAACAAATTTTTTTGCAGTCAGACTTCTTTTCAGAATTTGATGCTCATAAAAATCACCTGGATAAGAGGTACAAACTATGTAATTCCTGTCATAACACTGTTCAACATCACTTGAACCTTCAAGAAAAGGACCTGAAAACATTTGTACTTGGTACTCATCTGCAAAAGTCAAAATCAACTCCAACAAAATTAAAGGTAACAGGTCTAAGATTCTACTTTTAAAATAAAGTAGATGTTATTTACCAGGCAGGTGGCCCATATAGGGAAAAAAAACTATGCTCATTAAGGCACTGTTTTCTTTCATATGGAGAGGCCTAGATTGGTGAAGAGTAAGAATAAGAGTCATTAATCCTGTTGACTGATGATCTAATTTTGAGTGTTTTAATCATTTTTTTTTTTTTTAGCCTTTTCAGACATACTCACCAGAATCCAATATCATTGTGTTAGCTAAGCTGACTTGTGTTTTCCTTGCTGCACTGTTGGTGTTCTCAGATTCACCACATGCTAACCACAATAATTGTGGTAAGTGCAGTTAGAATGTTGTGGTTCAATTGTTTCCTTTGTTTCAAAGTTTTTCCAAACCAGTTTCAGTTCATTTTTCTTATCCTTTAATTAAATAAAATTAAATGAAGAAAAAAAATGACATGAAATTGCTTTTGATCACTAGTATTGTATCATATTATCAAATGTGGTGGAAAATTTTTAATAAAACCTGAATGGAAAGCTCTGATTGTAAAACTTCTTCACTAAATGAATAATGATTTACCTCAAGGCTTCCCATCTGACCAAAACTTTTGGTGATGGCAAAATTTTAAAAAATTCTAAATTTTACTGTTGTTTATCATCACCATTTTCTCAACACTTAGTGACTAGACTCAGTATTTTTTTCCTCACAGTATCACCCCTGAATCACACATTTAGGTCACAAGAATAAAGGAAATGATCACTGACTAACCAAGCTTTTGATTGTTCAACAAATTCTCCCAGTCAGAACCTTAGGAAATGTATAGAGAACAGTATGGATGTTAGGGTGAAAAGGGTAAAACTGGTCAATATTTTTTCCTTTTTCTTGAGGTGAATTCCTGAGCTATTGGAGCATCTCATTTGTGGCTAACCAAGACTTTTGGTCCAGTTTTCCACACAAAAATATGACAACAGCATCAGCATGTTTATTGTTGACTCAGTTATTTCAAGTAGCAGTGAGGACTTCATGGCAGAAAAGCTTAGAATTAATGCTCTGTCTGTGTAGTAAGTAATCTTTTACAAGTTGAACCTAGTTGATAGAAATTAGTGTATACATGTTCCATTGCAATGTGTGGGTGTTACGAGTGTCGATGTAGAGCAGGGTTGTTCCTGGACAAAACTCAGGATCGTTGGTAACAACAACAAACTGTTTTATTTCCACATAGTTGACTTCTTGTTTTTATAGCACTAAGCTTCTTCGCAAATCTCTCTCTCTGTTTGATGGAACTGTCGCTCTTATATACATAAAGAATAAGGATCTAGAAACTTCTCTAAAGAACTAAATTTAGTAGATTAACACGGTTTCTAAATTTGAATAATTACGTAAGGAAAAGAACGTTCCCAAATGTTCTTTTTACTAGAAGGTCATGTCTATGATGACTTCAGGTTCTAGAATGTTCTATTAGAATGTTCTGGGACTTTACTTAGACAATTTTTCGTAACAGTGGGACAGTTTCACATATCTCCCTCAAGGCATGAACATAGATAAGAAATAAGATATGGTAAAGCCTGCACGTGAGCAAAGTGGGTAACCAGCTGGAGCCCATTTTAGTTTCCTTGGCATGAAGCGACCAGGAGTATCACCAACCCCCTCTGGATGGGATGCCAGTCCACAAGGTTACCCCCACCCCCTTCGCAATTCACCGAGCTTCCCTAACAGTTTGACAGGTGCCATTTATACTCCTGGGCAGAGAGAGGCACTGTGAAAGTAGGGTTTTTCGTCCAAGAATACAACACATTGGCCATCATGTCTCTCATACATGTTAAACCACTGCCTTGCTAAAAATGGAAGCTAGGTGCCTCAGGAATGTAAGGGTTACTGCTGTGAGCCCCCTACTTTAGGTAACCATTAACACTGATTAACAAAAAAGCAAAGAGGGTGGGGTGGGGTGGAAAACACCCAAAAGAAATTGGTACAAATGATGCACACCTAAAAGACAACCACTTCAAAAACCACATAAACACTCAGATCCAACTGCAACATTCCCAGTGAGCCTTCACATATGACATTGACTACTGACCAGAATTATTTGGCAAACATGTGGAAAATGATGTTGCTTAACCCTTAATTAATAATGTATCTTGTCTTATTAGTGATTTGTTTTTTGAATAAATCTGCCAGTCTGTGGCTTATGCCAATAATACCTCTTATTCCATGCTGAGTTATCAATAAATATTTAATAATCAAAACTGATTTTTTAAGTCCAAATGCAGTTTATGATCAGTGTACTTTTCACCAAAGTTAATTCAATGTAAATTTTTTAGGCTTAGCAAGGAGGAAGTATTTGCACATCTTGTTGTGTTGCTTGCTGATGAATTTCCTCATATTTTTGAAAAAAAAGAGCAGGTATTTGAAAAACAGATTATCTTGTCAGAGTTAATTATTCCCTGTTAATGAACAAACAAGCAGTGAATCTGTTTGGGCATCTTTATTGAGGAAACAAGGAAGCCCTGAGGGCCTGAGGAAAGCCCCAGAGTGGAAGGGAGGGAGAAGAAACAACTGCAATGAATGAATGAACAAAGCAAAGTGATCACATGTCAAACAAATGTCAGTCAACAACTAGTCAGATGCTGCATGTAGGCCTGGGGCTAAATAAGTTGTTCCCAACCTCCAGCCAGGAATATGAATACTGATAACCTAATAACTATTTAAACGTAATATGAATTGAATTTGATTTGTTCAAGTAAGTGTTGCGCCTGCATCACGAGTGGCAAAACAGATGCAAGCCAGATACATTTTAACTTTTTACACATGTACTGAGGGGGGAAAATTAAATTTATGGCTGGGGAAAATTTTTCATTCCAGCCTCAACTTTGAAAATTGAAACAAAAAGAAGGAACATTTTAGTAGAACAGGAGGGTATGAAGATGTTACAAAGTTGTACGGCTCTTTATTCATTTTGAGGGTGTTACTTTTGTAAACTATTTCAATGGGATTTTCTTCATTATTTTGGATGTGTTCATCTTTTCAGCTGGGTAATTACCTAAACGCTAAACATGCACTGATCCTTTTTTTTCAGATTTGGCATTTTGATTTTAGTCTCGTGGACCTTACTTTCTGCTCTAAGATTCTGGTAAGTTCAAGGACGTAGTTAAACCATTATCCTGCGAAAAAGTTGCTCATCATAGTTAAACCATTATCCAGCGAAAAGGGTTCGTCGAGCCAAACCTGAGTGGCTCCTTTCATTTGATAAAATGACATCCATTTGACTGCTTGCTATTTTTCCTGGCTGTTATTAACGTCTCTAGGGTTGCCGCTTTTTATGTCGTACACTTAGCGAACAGTTAACTGAGTTAATAACTTGAAAATTTATGGATGTAGATGACGCCGCACGGTCTCCCTGAGTCCCTTCGCCCCGAAGTGTGGTTGCGTCGCCCCCAATTTGAAGTTGCTTCACCTCCAACTTTTGACCTTTCTGATTAACCAGAAATATATTGAAAGGATTTTAACTGTTAACTCTGAGAATGTATTAGACGTTTGACCACTGTGTTTTGTTTGGCTGGTGTGCCTCTATCAATATTCATCACTGAAATCAAAGCTAAAAGGAAAGGAGGTGTAAAGTCCGTTTTGTATTTCAACTTCTCAGGGAAGTTTTTTGGCGTAAGACTGACACCAGATGGCACACCAGAATGGCTGTGTTCTGTCTCATCCTGGACATGTGCTCTTTCTTATTTTCCCTCCTTTCATACGCAAGAGGCATGGTTAGAAGAAAAAAGAAAAGGTACTCAAGAAGTTTGGTAGACTTACATGTGGTCTGTTTTGACGCTGAGTTAAAGAGTTTCGCTGACAGACTAAAAGACTATGTCTCACATCGATTGCAACGGTGGTACCCGCTCACTTCGCCGACAAGCCAACTCGCCGCCTCTATTAGTCAACTCGCCGGCAGTCGTCTTTGGTCGTTGTCGGCTGGTTGGTTAGTATTGTCGGAGAGTGGTATCAGCGACTTGTCATTTCGGCGAAGTGACCGGTCACCGTAACAACTCTGCGGCAATTTTTAAGGCGTTTGCCAGAGTATTTCTCTTTTTGGGTCAAAACTTTTGAATGTTTAATCTGCAAAACTACTTTTTTCTTTTCACGTTCATTTCCACGACTTGCGCAAATTACTTAACTGTGCCAGTCTTCTAAGGAAGTTGTAAGAAAAAAAAGTTGTGGGTTTTTTTGCGGCGTCAAAAACGGGCCACAGAATTGAGCCACAAACTGCATGGAAATGTTACGCAGTGTAACAGAAATTTAAGGTTTGCGTAAGAAATCTGTTGGAAACAAGTTACATTTATTTAATACCAAATTCCAGCTTAGTTCTAATTTGGTAACTAGAGTATTCGAAATGATAAGAAAAATTTAAAAAGTCTAAAAAGAAAGGCAAAAAATGGGTGGGCTTGGGTAATCTGCGTTTGGCTGAAAAATTTCTGGACTCAGGAGCATACGAGATTGAATTTAGGCATAATTACGTTACATTGTTTGAACGATTTCAGATGCCAATTTACACCAAGTCCATCCAGTGTCGAAAAACATCACACATCGGCAGTTGATTCAAATGCCATGGACACAAGTACATGCTCTGAGGTGAGATGTCTTTAAACACGCACAGGGATACAATTTTAATGGAGATATCTTGTTTACATAATAAGGAGCGTTACGCTCGCATTTGTTATTACTTATGATCTATTGGAGAACAGACAGATGACGTCACCATTAACAACATTTTTGCTTTATTGCTAGTTAAGACAAAGAGATCCCATGTTGCCGTGGGTCTGTTCAGTAACTGATCACAGGAGACGTCAAAATGTGGAAAAATCATCAGTGACACACTCAGCCGGTCCTTGTGTGCCACTCCTTTGTTCCTATCCCATTTTGAAGTCATCTGTGATCTATTAGCGGAGCTCTCAGAGCGTAGCCCCATAATTATACAAAATAGTAGTAACCCATCAAGCCGAAAAAATTTGGATGTACGACCGTACGACCGTACAAGGTGCTACTTTTAACATGCGTGGTCAACTGTACCGCGGGCACGCCAACGTCACGGCTTTGTTTAGAAGTCCAGTGGGTTGGGCTCCGAGTCGGACGACCCGGGTTCTAGCCCTGGCCGGGGCAAGGTGTTGTACCCTTGAGACGTGCGGGAAAAAAAATGCGAGCTCCACTTTTAGGCTTGGCTAAATCTATATACTACAGAACAGACGCACGGTAACGTGGATCTATTTGTTAAACAGAGTGTGGGTTCCATATATATGAAATAATTTTGTATCAATAAACGGTGACCTTTTAACTGGCTCTTTCCGTTGAAATCGTCAATTTGTCAAACGGATTCCATTTCGCCGCATATTTCGTAGGTTTGATGTATGGCTCTTCAGTGTTACAAGTGGCTAGAACTTGCTGTATGTTCTTGTTAATTCGCAGAGTACACCCTCTCATCGTAAAACATCAACAGAATTAGATCACAACCTGAATGGCCTGTCATTAGGTTTACCCACTAAGAGAAAGAATGGCTACAGGAACCCGTTGTCACCAGGGAATTTTGGAACAGGTAAAATAAAAAACCTTTCACTTCATATTGCTTCGTCAGGCACATTCGTTAACTAAATCGTGATCACACATTCTTTAATCAGGCTTATTTCTTACACAACTCCAAGTTGAGACGAATTCTCATTCTCCTCCTCGACCGATGTTTTTTTTATCACATTACCCGTACGTCCCCGTCCCTCCCCCGCCCAGTAAAAGGGCCGTAGGCGATGGCGCGAGCAGAGCCTGCAATAGCCGTACGGTCATCCCTGATGCGAGCAGCGACGTTCATCTGAAAAAAAGCGACGTTCATCTGAAAAAAAATGCCTATTAACTGAGTTTGGTCGGGCCGAATGGTTAGATATTTGGCTCTCAATCGTGAGGTGTGGACCTCACTGTGTTTGGTCCGTACCTCATGGTCTTGGGCTTAAAACTTTTTCCCTTCTTGCCCTCCTACTTAGTCAATAAGGACTTATTTTTCTTGTAGTCTATTGCGACTAGTATCGTAAAACACCATTGTAACGTCGAAGAACATTCTGATTGGTACTTTGAGATCATTTATAGGGGTCATAAAATTTGTTAAGATTAGAGGCCTGGACCCGCTGCGCACATGAGCTGTGTGATTGGTTAATTTCTGTGAAATACCTAAAGTTCTTTTAAATTTCATACATAGAACAATGGAATCTCGTCGTCTCGAAACCTTGTTCCTGTCATTTGTAGCCTTGACCACGCCCCTTAGAGTGGACCATCATCGTTGTGTCCCTAAACTTTATCCTGGCACTCTCGAACCAGGTGTATCTTTGGCCATCATTGTTTTTTCTTAATTTTTTTTTTATTATTTTCTCAAAAGATTACGCGACAACATTGCAGATTTGAGTGGTCACGGTCCTTTTTGAGGCTAATTTTTTTTCGAGTTCATGATCTCATAGTTCGCCATCATAACGAACTCATATCTGGTAGTGTCTATCAAGTTGAGGTAGTTTTCAAATATTCAGACGTAACTTACTTAAGAAATGTGAAATGTTATTTGCAACACGGCAGGTATGAGAAGGATAATTGACTAAGGCCATTGGAAATTTCTGCTAACAGTCCTATAAAAGTCTTCATTTAACGGCTTGTAATAGTCACGCAATAATGTCACGACATCTTCGTTCACGTGAGGGTGTGGTCGACCCTTGTCTTTTGACAAGCATCCAGATTTGGTTGGTTCACCGTTCGTTTGAGTGGGTGGAACTAAACACGGGAAACCCTTAGTTTCGTTGAAGTAGAATAACTTTTCATCAATGAATGGTTTTAGTCCCAAGAATTTCTCTACCAATTTCAATTCTGGGACGGGGTTTTTGATAAGTTCTTCGCCATTTACGAAGAGAATTTGCTCTAGAGGAAAATATTTCAACCAATTTTTTAGATGAGTTATGTAGACGCCAGTTTGGACTATTTTGCTATATTTTAGCACTGTGCCATTTTTGGTGACGTATTCCTCGAATGGTCTGATCTTGCCCTGATATTTATCGAAGATTTGCGCGTAATCTGAAATCGCACGCACAGTCGGGTCACGAACTATCACCAACAGCTTAACATCCGGGGACATGTTGTAAATCAGACGAGGAGCATCTTGAGTAACATAATAGGCTGGTGTTTTCTCAATTGTGATTTCATTTTTCAAAGACTTAGGCATTTGATTTCTGTACCACTCCAAGCCTCGCTTATAGTTGTCTTGTTCGTCAAAGAAATGCAGTTCTCGTGAACAAGCTCGCACGCTGGGATGACGCGCAAGAGAATCCAAAAGTGCTCTTGTTCCTCCTTTTCGTATTCCAATGATAAGAGCATTTGGAAGTCTTTTTTGTTTCAACTCCGTTTCGCTTTCGTTTCCTTCATTGGTCATCACATAGTTTGAAAGCCCGCTCTGTTGTGATCCTGTGTTACCTTCGATTTGGTGACTGGCGGTTTCGTCGTCTGCTAGCTTTTGTTGTAAGTTTTTTTCGTTTTCTGTGATCGAATCAAAGATGATTGCGTCGTCTGTATCTTGAATCGCGTTTTCAGTTTGCCCCAATGATTCCTGTGTATTTATTGCAAACACTTCCTCATAAGGAATTTCGTAGTTTTTCGTGAGCTCTCTGACTGGTATTATTTGACCGTAGAATAAACAGTACATAAACGTTGTTACGAGGAACAGAAGCGCGCTACAAAAGTATCTCTGTCGGCATGATCGCATCATTGTTCTGTTTTCATCAGTGTACTATTCCTCCCCAAGTCTTCTGAAAGTATCACCTCGTGATATAAGTTGTCTGCACAGGCCGTTTATACAAGCTATCCAGTTAGTTCCTGTTTGAAACTGAGTAAGCAAAAATACGATACACTTCAAGAGGTTAGAAACTGATAAAATTTAGCTCTAAGAAACCGCTTTTGTTCTGTTATTTGAAATTATTGGAGACGGATTATTTGAAACATTTCGTTTTCCAACTGGTATTTCCGTTGACGTTCTCGACATTGCTGATTCTAGCGGTTTGCAATACGTTTGCACAAAAGGAACAACATTTTCATTTAAATATATCATATTCAAGCTTGGTAATGTGTGAAACAGGGTATCTCTAGAAATTGCGAGAAAAAAGTCCTTAGAAATTCCGTAGAGGACTTTAATGTCTAGAATTAAAACTTCCCATGGGAATGGTCCTAGATTGCATTCCTGTCAAAACCGAGTTACGTTTGGTGATGACTGAAAACATGTCCTCTCACTAGCTATCGAGTATGCCTCACTGCTTGAAATTTGAAGCGAATCCATTGTTCTGATTGGCTAGCTGAGCAGGTAAGATGCCACGCGGCATTTTCCACTGTGATCTCGCAAAAGAGTTAAAAAAGAGCTTGTAGCCGGTTAAGATCGTAACTTCAAGGGAACCTTTTTCTTAAAAGAAAGTTTTCTAGCAGTTTCGGCAGCAACCAAGTCACAATAAGGCCCTTAAACAATCAAGTTTCATGAATTTTTTCAGTAATTCTTTAGCGTATTATTTTCGCATTTGAAAATACCATATTGACAAAACTTGGTTGGTCAACAACGCTTGACTTCTGGGCGCGTTCTTTTCCTTACTGAACTAAGGCGACGTCTTGGGTCAAAAATATAAGCGAAAAGAAGAAAAGAGAACTTGAGAAATGTCTATCCGTATTGTACTCACACCCGGTCCATAATGCGCTTATCTTCATTTGCATCAAATTATCTATTTCTCTGTAACATTTTAATCAAGTCCTAAGCAGTGAATAAATGTCTAACGTTTACGAAGATATTTCGCTGATGATCAAATATATTTGGACACAAAATATAATATTAAGGTTTTAACCCAATTTTGCTCACATTCAATTACGTTGTTTTCCGACTTAATTTTTTATTTCTTCATCATGTCATTATTTGTTGCATATTAAATAAATCCTGTAATATGTATGTAAAATGTCGAGTTATATTTTCACATTGATTTCAATATAAATGACAGTTTTACTCTGAGAGAATTCTCAGTTATGCTGGGATAGAAAACTTTTGAAGGTCTCAAATCGATGAAGCCACGGTCTCGCTGAACTTTCGCGATCCTAGCATATTGAATGACATGAAAACGATAAAAGCAAAGAAAAATGCAAGCAATAAACAAAAGGGTTCCCTATGCTTGCGCAGAAGCTCAAGCATAGGGGAATTAAACGTTTGAAACTCAGCTAAACTTGAACGACAATGAAAATGAACTTGAAACTTGAAATAAGAAGCATCAGTGTAGACATAGACAAACATCGTAATTAAAATAATCCATACAGAATAAATGAAATCAGAAGTTTGTGAAGAATCGGTGTCAGCCCTACCTTTGCAGGCTTGTGAAGTTGGTGGAGCTTTTTCTGAATGAGTAAGCTGTTGATCTCTCGAAAGTGTCCCTTCTTTAAAAGCAGTTTGTCATAGTTTTTTGAACATGAAAAAAATATCAAGGAATTTTAAATTGACCCATTAAGTCGATGAGCTTACACCTTGGCCTGAATGAACAGTTTGAAAATATGATTCTCTTGATCAAATTTAAAGTTGGTAAAAAAGTTTCGACGTGAGATATATTGGTCAATCCCGCCCGCTGCTTCTTTGGTAAACTCGCACAAGAGTTTTCAGCCGAAATGCACTGTGTGTGCGGCTGAAAAGACACTTTTACATACATTACTTTATACAGGTTTAAAAACGCTTATTTAATTTTGGCGTTGCCAGGGATTTCTTCGCATGTTCGTGTGGAACTTAAAGGGCAAACACTCTTTTGCTTAGTGAAGCTTAAAAACAGATCATATAAATCTGATTTACGTTTTAGTGTTTACTTATGGTATCGAGTTCCTTATTGAAAAAAAAAAAAGTAGAAAATCAGATGAAGGGTTAGGATTAACTTTTGCAGATCAAACCAAAGTTGTTGAAGGGGTTTTTTTGGGAAAAAAATTGATTAAAAGAAAAAAATAATAACACTTCTATCTGTGCTGAAGAAATCACTACAAACTCCTGCATAAGTAACTCAATAGGGGGCACTGCTCTTTCTGAAAATATATATTTCTTTCCTATTCATTTATTCCTAAACTCATTGATACATTTTTTAGTAAAGTCCATAATTACCAAGGCAAGGAATTTATTTTTTTGTCCAGAGGTTCTTTCTAATCAAAGTTTTCACGGCAGGAGTCTAACACTATACCAATCAATTGTTTATGAGAGAGATGATAACTGCCCAATGAGCTATGTTGCACCATTTAGAATATCAGTTTCAATTTCTGAGAGTTGTTGGTTGCTCTATGGTGTCTTTTCTTGTGATAAAAATTAGTTATTAATTTATTACAAAGTATTGTCAGTAAAGAAATAATCTGTACTTGATGAACATTCTTGGATCGTCCATTTAACGTGGCAAGTTACCACAGCAACAAAATAGCCTATCAAAATAACGGTCTTTTATATCTCCTAGTACCTGCGCCATGATTAGTCAATGTAGCGAGCCTTATTTCACTGTACGGCCCACTAAACCGAGAAGTTTGTTTGAATTGATATCCTTCCCCTCTATATGAACCCAGAGACATGAAAAATTTCTAACTTATCTCATTTTCTCGGTCTTCTCGGTAACTTTCGTATGAAATGAGCGAGCGACAATACGAGCGAAAAAAACTCGGTCCGTAACTTACCGTACGGACCAAGAAAACGAGGTATATTAGTAGTAAGTGGTACTGTGACATGTCGCTATAACCTGATGTCTAGTGCTAATTTGGCGAAGTCTCTGATGTTCATAATCCCCTAAGAGTTTGACGGAAAAAGCGAACGGACCCATAATAATAAAAAAAATTAAGTCCGATTCGTTAGGGTTCCCAGATAGGAAAACGCCTAAAGCAGATCATCCCCGTATAATTTCAGGATTCATTTCAAGATTATGCTCGTAGTTGAAGAATCAAACACTCAAGAAAAGTCTACAAAGTTCAAGCGCGAAGAGGGAGAATTCCCTTGTGATATGGGCTTTTAACTGAATTTTAATCAGCATGGCAAAGCTGGCCTGTTTTTTAGACGCAGCACAGCTGCAAGGTTTGTCCTAAATTTCTCGCTGCGTGATGCCTCAAGGCGCGCAGAAGCACCAGCTGTGTAGGCTAGATTTTGATTTAAGCCTTTTTTTATTTCCATAAAGGTTTCTTCTGGAGTCAAACTTTGAGCAACAATTCAGAGGAGACACCTTTGGTATCCATGCAACAAAGGCCCCTCATCGTTCCTGCAACGTTGCATTTTTCTGGACTCCGTGACAGATCTCCAGCAGCCCGAACCTTAGAAACACAAAGTGGTAAGGGAATATAAATAATCTCTAAATTTGTTTGGTGCTACTGGGCCATTTTCCCCGAAATTTTTAGTAGTGGGCAGTCTCGGAAAACTTTTCACTTCTTAATCGAAATAACGAAACGAAACATATGACAAATGAATGGTTTTTGAGCTAAGACCCGCATTATTATACCTCAGAGCTACGATTTGAAATTTGGCTTTGGGCCCATTATGTCAGGGAGACTTTCACGAAAAGGGCCCTGATTTTTAACCCTCATGTCTTTCTGACGGAAAGTCTTCGAGTGGGATCCAATTTCTAACTTCGCTAAGCGCTCTTGGCTAAACGAATAATATTGTTCTTCATTCGACGACCCAAACTTTACCAACTCTTAATCTTAGTTTATAGTCGCTTTTTAAATTACATTATTTTAGGTAGTTGTGGCGTTTTTGGTCAGACTCAAAAGGCAACTTTGTTCCCAGGTTCCCCTCTCTTTCGTTCTTAGAAAGATCCTGAGAACGAGGTTGTCATCCATGCGGATAATCGTTTAGTGAAATAGTAAGTCTTAGCAGAGGAAGTGATCCCTTGAATTTAGCTCGAGAGTTTGTCACCAGGAAGTTTCAGTATCCCTGGCCTTACATTTACCTGATTTGCTTTTTCGGTAGACTTCTTGTAGATATTCAGGGGCTGGGGGCCGGGTGGGTGGGAGGTTAAGAGTGACGTCAGGGACGGGTGAATGGGGAATTTTTTTTGCGGTGAGAGAATTCTAAGTTTTTACTGTGTCCTTTTCAGTTGCTCGCTCTGGTGGTAACTCCTACACTATCTCCTCGGATGAGGACTCCGAGTCTGAATCAGACACAAAAGATGAGAACTTTCAGCGGGTAAGAAACCAGTCTGGCAACGAATTCGCGGAGTTGAAAGCACTTTCCTCTTTAATATGTTTGCAAACAAGTCTTCTTAGCCTCTCTGTTGGTTGGAAATTCCTTAGCCTGTACCCCGTCATGTCGAGGCTAGCAACGCGAATTTGCGCCCATGTAAAATTAACAATCATGCCCTTAATTTATAACAGAGGTCCATTATTAATATGTCTACGTGATGATGATCTAACGCGTTTTAAAACAAGTTTACATCCTTTCAACAGAATTCACATCTAATGAATGACAGAAAGTCAAAATCAAAGCAAATCCCAAGAAGGACCAAACGTCAGACTTCTTCCTCGAAGATAATAATGACACCAATTACTAGGAGTTTGTTACTCCTTGCAAGCTTATTGTTAAACGCGTATTTTATAGTATCATTCACCGACTGGCCCCAGCGAATTCTGTTGTCACTTAGAAAGGTTTCAGGAACAAGTAAATAAATCAAAAAAATATTTTTTTAAGAAGGCGAGGACATTAGTCAGTCTCTGTAAATTAATCTCCTTTATTTAATGTTTTTGTTATCATTAATAAAATACAAGTGAATACAGAATATCAGCATGTTATCAGCCTGATTTTTTTCTTGAAAGGAGGCGGACGACATTAAGATCTTTCTCTGTAGTTGAAAGTCGACACAAAGCTCATGCGTCGATCAATTCTTTTCTCTCAAATTATTAAAGGCAGAGCCTGAATTGGACAATGACTTTTTCCTGTACGTTTCTGTACAGAGCCTTCACTAATCTTCATCAGATGAAAATTGGAAATCCTCTACAATGTCTTCCACGTCTGCATCCATAGTTATGTTCATCGTGTGTGAAGTGTTTTCAGAAGTAGTTTTATTAACAGCCTTCCGTATCTTCGTTTTATCTTTCTCTTGTTCCTTCTTATTTTCAGAGCTCTGATGCTTTCTCTTCCTCTTTGACGCCGCTTTTGTTTCTTCCCCGTCAGATGTTTCCTCGTTCTCTCCATTTCCAGTTTCTATTTCCCTATCCTACAAAACAATCGAGTGAATTTGAGATTATCACATCCAACTTACTACAGGCTACTTAATTAAGAAGAGTTTTCAGAAGCTATCCTAGGTAATTACAGAAGGTGTGGCCTGGTAATTAGCCTGCTCGATTACGGACCGAGAGATCCGAGTTCTACTCTTAAACGTCATCATTAAGTTGTGTTTTTGGGCATTTGGAGAAGACAATTGGCCTTCCTGGTATTCCAGTGCCTCTCTCAACTTTTAAGTTTAAACTACTACCATGCTAAACACTGTTATTACAGTCGAAATTTTAGCACATTTAAGACAATTTTCGAAAGGTTAGGTAACTCATTGACATTTGAAAAGAAATCAGTTTTTAGACTGTAAACAGTCCATTCTTTTCGGAAGTCCGTAGCGCAAGTAAAACAGAAAAATTGGCAAAAAAAATTGATGTTGGCGCGCGGCGCGGAACTTTGGGATTGAGGCGCCTCACTCCCAAAGTTCCGCACTGCGCGCTAACATAATTTTCTCGCTGACTCCACCCTTTTTGAAAGTTTACGTCACTGCGCCTTACCTCTTGCTGTATGGACGGTTTCATTGTCTTCCAAGTCTTGTAAAACTTCACAATACTATTTGGCTGTTGTCTGTATTGAGCCGTCCATCTTTCCTGTGGAAAAAAAGCAAACAGCGTTTCAACAGCATTATTCAGAGCGTTTTGTGACATCCACAATTGATCGAAAATACAGCGCAGTTATTCCAGAAAGTACAGAGAGCAAAATACATAGGGATACCGTCAGCTTACAGCTAGTTTAGTCCGCTTGCCATGAAACTTTCTCTACAATGGCTCAGAAACTTACCACTTCCTCCAAATCTTTAGGACTAAAAGACACTTTAGATCGTCGGTTTGTTACTTCCGTGGAAGTCTCCTCAATCTGGTAAAAAGGACGACAAAAATTTGAACCGATTCCTGTTATAAAACTGCACAATGAGGCAGAATTGGAAGGTGTACTTAACTATTACCTTGTCAACGAGTTGCTTGAACTGCTTCCGGTATTTTGGAACGCTTGTTGTCTTAATAAACTTTCTTAGCTGCGAAAGGAGAGTAAATAGCGTTGTCATGGCCATACAAAGCAGTTTTCATTATAGTGTTGTAAGTAATCCGAGATCGCATTGATTTTGCTTCACCCGTGCTCCGTGATTGGTCCGGAAAATATGCCCCACTCTTTCTACCAATCGGATGCAAAACTGAAACCACTCACGTCTTGTTCGCCCGCGTTTCCGCGCACTTTACGGAGCGGGGTTGTTTTTACTTTGAGTTCTCATTGACACCTGCAGGTATTTTCCCTTGTTCTGATTCGCCGTTTTGATTACTTTGACTTTGGTTTTACGACAATCGAATACCGCTATATACCACAAAATTGGAATTACTTACCCTTAACACGGCAGGGAGGGCAACTTCTGGGAATGCTATCGAGTGCGCATGTATAGAAAAGAACTCTAACAGCAATTCAAAGATATGGTCCATAACTGCATCCTGAGAAGAAAAAAGCCTGTGTGATTAAAGGTGACACACATGAGGCAGTCGTCAAATCTATATGTGCCAAGCGCCGGAAGGGAACATATTTGGCCTGACCTCATGACCAGCCCGGCCGAACCTAACTTGGCATTCTATCATATGGCCATCGTTCTTTATTTCCCTTCGTTTCTTCTTCAACCTCGCAGCTTGCGAGGCCGTAGTGTTTTGTAAGGCCTACTAACGCTATCGTACAGTACCCACACGGAGATTTTTGTTCAACGTTTCTCGATTAAAAAGGCGCACGGGGCCGTTCGGGTCATATGATAATATTGCATATTCGCCCCTTTGAGTTTTGAGATAAGATAGCCTGTGTGGCAGTATTTTTGATTTGCTTCCAGCCAAGCAGGGGTAGGGTGAGGACACCAGGCGTAATAAAGCGCGCAAAATGTTTTTCTTTTGCTCTATTAAACCTAATGTCCTGACTCAATTCTTTAGCGACCCACGCTTACAATGCTAATAAAAGGGAAACGGAAACTACTCATGCGCAGTATAAGGGAAGACGTCGACACCATTGGTTCGTGATCACATGATACGGGGAGGTAAAACTGACTCATTTGCCAAAAGTAGCGAGGAAAGTTCTGATTCACATGCACTGTTGGTAGAATAGTCCTTAAGAAAGACACAACATCTCCAGAGCTGTCACAGCAAACGAACCGTGTGTTGTAATGATGAACGCAACCACATTTAACAACACAACACCACGCTCTTCACCATCTTCAGGGTTAAACATTTACGCTGTGCTGAGCCCTACATTTTATCTGTGCCTCGTCATTTACGATGCGATCATCGCCGTGGCGACAACTCTGGCAAATTTTCTCCTGCTCGTTGTAATCTACCGCGATCCTTTCCGTTGCCTGAGAACTCCGACAACTTTTCTGATCGCAAATCTCGGGGTGGCTGATTTCTTTGTTGGAGCTCTCATGGGATTCGGTCGCACGGTGGAAATGTATTTCCTCTACAAAGGACACCGAGAGCCCCCGTATCTAAATACTTTCCAATATTTCATAGGAGTACTGGCTATGTTTGCGGCAGTTTGTTCCATAATAGCGATGTCTTGGGATCGTTTTGTAGCAGTAACAGACCACATTAACTACAAGAACAGGATAACAGTTAAGAGAGTGAAATTGTACATTCTGTTTATTTGGTTAAATGCGTCATTTATGGCCGTTTTACCCGCCGCTGGTGTCAAAAAAATAACTTTCCTCTACGCATACAGTTACTCGCATGTGTTTCTTCCTGCAATCCTCCTGACAGTCGCCTACGTTGTGGTTTTCAGGACGTTGTCTCAAAAACTACAAACTTTTAACCGGCGAGTGTGTGCAGGAAACTCGACGAACGAAACGCGGAGGAACTTTCAACGAGAGAAAAAGCTGGTGTTAGCCATCTTCCTTGTGTTAGTTGTGTTCTATACTTGCTTTTTTCCGTTTGTTGTCAAGGTACACTTGTGGTTCTTCTGTTCACAATGTGAAACCTCCGCTGCTTTCATAACATACCACTTCATAACAAATGATATTTTATCACTTTCTTCGCTAATCGATCCTTTTATCTATGCCTGGCGACTGCAAAGCTTTCGTAAGACGTTCCTTACAGTGTTGGGCTTGAGACAACGCATTACCGATGAACGGCCTGTTTAAAAAACATATCAATGTGCACGGATCGTGTGTGGAAAAAAGAGGAAGGATACGTTTTCATATTGCGCAATATCACATATCCTTTATCGTCATCTCGACAAAACATAGCAAAAATGACAAAAAGTGTCTTTCAAAAGCATAGCGCAAAAAAAATCTGAGCCTTTCCAAACCTTTCGAGTTTTGAGATTTTAAGATGAAGTCCTACACCTTGGATAAGGACTTTTCAATCTGTTTGAAAAAGTTGCAATAAATACATCTAAAATAGTTGAGTATACTTCTTCTCGTCAAAAGTCTCACGAAATTATTTCTTTGCTCTGTTTCAGATTTTCACATTATTGAACAAACCCAGAAAGATGTCCATACTGTTTTCTCATAATTTTCTCATTTAAATGCAAGTAACGTCCTTTAGCAAAAAGTGGTTTTAAGTTAACGAATGCACAACAAATCATTCTTTGGGGAATAACTCCGTAAATTTGAGCTTTCAGAAATAGGATCAGAGTATTGGAAAAAAGTAGTTTATTTTTAAGACCTACACAAAAGTAGCATAAAAAAAATGCATGCAACCAAAACTTGAATTAAACGACTTTAATCAGGTGTATTTGCCGAAAGGTCAGTTTGTTGACAGATCTAATTCAACGGCCTGGTACAAAGAGTTTTTCTAGTCCGTTCATAATTGTCCTCAATATTAATTTTTGGCCATTTCCTATCTCTGAAGTAGGTTATATTTGCACTCCAACAATAGCAATTTAGATTAAAAAATAACAATTAGTAAAGTCATTTCCACTGACATTGGACAGAGATGAATATTTCCAATATTACGTTAGACAACCCGGTTCTGGAATAACGCACAAAATTAATAGGTGACAAAGAGTTAGAAAAGCAAAGCTTTGTAAATAATTCCGATTATTATATAAGATTTAGGACACGCACGCAAGGAAGACTTGTGCTATAGAAAACCATATTTGGTTGGTAAAACGTTGTCGCTAAACTGAACAACATCTCGGGATTCTTGAGAGGAAAAGCTACTTGTTTTTAATCGAGATCGGAGTGTCGTTGCTATGAGACGATGACAACTAGAAAGACTTTACACAACCTGGAAGAGAATTTTAAAAAATGCGAATACCAAGTAAGGTAAGCAGCGACAGGTTGGAGAGTAAAAGCGGAAGACAACCAGTCTTCCTATCTCCTTCACATTAACCTTTCTGCCTACAGCATTTAAACTGCACATTTCGGCATAATTTAAACTTAATGACTTCTGAAAAATGTAAGCAGAGTCCTTAGCGATCTCTCTACGCTGCGATCGTGTTGATATCGGCGATTGGAAACGATTAGAAAGAAAAATTTCTTTAAAAAAAAAATTGTTGCAATTGCACCTGTTTTCAAGATCAAACGGATATCAAGTTTCATCAATAGGGGATCGTGGCGATCAGAGATCCCAAGAAGCACTGTAATATCGCAATCGCTATGACCGCTAGTCACATTTTCCGTTTGGCCTTAACGTGGTAACGAGACTCGAACAGAGTCCTTCGCCTCATTCCCAGCCCTCCTATTTGTGTCCTCAATCAGAGCTATCTTAGTTGTTATGATGTTGTAATCATTTTTAGACAAAGGCATAATGTGGTAAGACTTAGTTCATAAAGAACCAAGGTTTCATTCCAACGAACATCTATAATTATCTTTTTCCCTTTGGTAGTTATTTTTCATCAGCTTCTACTGTACTTTTAAAGGCCATTATATTTGGTAAACTTACCGCGGGTAAACTTGTCAGAATATATTTTTGTCGGGAAAACGCCGACTAATGCGAGCGCACTTCAATTTGAGATATACCGAATCATTTGCTTTCATTTTTTTTAAACCTATTGTACCACGAGCAAGTAAGGTAAAGGCAATTGTTCTTCGATATTTACGAGTCTGTGGGAATTATTGTAACTGTTGTAATTAAATCTTGCAGGTGGTTGTAAATAAGGGCTAGGATATTAATTCCCTGAAAGAAATTTTACTCGGGATTACCTTAGAAACTTGTTTTTTTCTAGGAAATTCATCTTTCGTATCGAAACGATTGCCAAAGTATTGACGAAAAAAGTTGTTCGTCTCGGGAATTGGGAGTAACTAGAAGCAAAATTACCGAGTTAGGTGAAAAACATTCAAGATATGAAAGGTCGGGTAATAAAATCTGTGAACAATCTAAGATTTTGCAACAAACAAAAGAGAAGGCGACTGATTAAATATCCTTCATCTATCGCCTTTTTGAAAGTAAATATTCACATTGATATGTTAATTTTTTGTCGTCCGATTCTCTTTAAAAGCTAATGTTTCATCTGTATCACGACAGTCGCTCATTTCCATGACTTGTAGTTAATTTTGTCCGATATTGCGTTAACAACTTCTGCAAAATGAAAAATAACAACAGAGGAGGAATAAAACTTATCATTAAATTTTGAAAACAAGTTACAAGGAGATGAATTATATAAGATACGAACCGAGTGTAATTCAATCGGTCTTCCTTCTGTATTTAGTGTATAAGGCTATCTAATAAATTTGTTCCACATATTAGACAAACAAAACGAAAATCGATTTACCAAAGTATTGCAATTTGAAGAGAATTTAAATAAAAGAATGTTAATTATCTGAGTGCAGATTTTTTTTTTTGAGAAATTCTTTGCTTACCAATACTTGAACTAGAACATTCGATTTCTCCGTCAAAAATGACAGAGACTACAGTTCACTTTGATAGCTGCCTAGGTAGACTAAAAGCTTACAAAATAATTCTTTGTTTGGCCTATGCGCTCTCATTAATAGCATTTCTTCTGAAACCCAGCACTCTAAAAAAAGTTTTTCGGAAACTTTGCAATCGGCAGGCATAGATTAAAGGGTCGATTAGTGCAGACAGGGAAAGGATATCATTCGATATGAAGTGATATGTTAAAAACGCGGGAGAGCTATCGCACTGTGAACAGAAAAACCACAAATGTACTTTCACAAAGAACGGGGCAAAACACATATAAAACGCGACTAAAACAAGAAAGATGGCAAAAACCAGCTTTTTCTCGTGGTGGTAATTTCTATGCGTGTCGGTCGGTGGGTTTTCTGTAAAACCTCTCCGTTTAAACTGTCCAAGCTTTTTAGATAAAGTCTTGAAAACCACAACATAGGCGATTGTTAAGACGATTGCAGGAACAAACATATGTGAGTAACAGTATGCGAAGAGAAAGTCAAGTTTTCTGACACCAGCGGCGGGTAAAACGGCCAAAAATAACGCATTTAGCCAAATTAATAGAATGTACAACTTCACTTTCTTTACTGTTATTCTGTTCTTGTAATTAATGGGGTCTGTTACTGCTACAAAACGATCCCAAGACATCGCCATTATGGAACAAACTGCCGCAAACATAGCCAGTGCTCCTATGAAATATTGGAAAGTATTTAGATACTGAGGTTCTTGGTGTCCTTTGTAGAGGAAATACATTTCCACCGTGCGACCGAATCCCAGAAAAGCTCCAACAAAGAAATCAGCCACCCCGAGATTTGCGATCAGAGAGGTTGTCGGAGTTCTCAGGCAACGGAGAGGATCGCGGTAGATTACAACGAGCAGGAGAAAATTTCCCAGAGAAGTCGCCAGGGCGATGATCGCATCGTAAATGACTAGGCACAGATAAAAGGTAGGGCTCAGCTGAGCGTAAATGTTTAACCCTGAAGATGGTGAAGGGCTCGTTGTTGCGTTGTCAAATGTGATTGCGTTCATCGTTGTAAACAGTCTAATTTGAACGAACTTTAAAGCGGAATTTAAATCGGACCATCATTGACGAATTCAGCGCGTGTTGGCTGGATACGGGATACTTAACAACTTATTAGGATGTAAAAGCAAATAAAACACAGAATTCATCAATTACTAAGGGGGAATATTTATTTTGACTGACGGAGCCTCTGTTTGAAGAGAAAAAGCACCAAGTGTAACAATAGCTTTAGAAATCCCCGGAAAGGCCATCTGTGAAACTTAGCCTTGGCTAGGCTTCTTCATAATCTCTTTCTTCGGAGACATTACTGAACGACTCACAGAACGTAATTTTATACAGTTGAATTCTATGTCAGAAGGTTACCGAAATTAGCAAAAGAATTCGTTACGAAGCCGTTCTACACCTATTTATTGTAAGAAATGGTGTTATTTCCTCAAGCATTTGGAGGGCCTACTTAGATGAAGCGAAAATAATCTAGATGTTTCTTCTTCAATATGAATCTCTTTGGAGAAAGAACAGGTGGATAACAGACCGACACTGAATTGCAATTATATTCTCAGTGGGCTGACGTACACAGTAAGATCAAGGCGTATTGACTTAACATGGACAGGGAGACGGCTTGTAAAAGATTCTGCTCTCCAGCCAATATGGCATTTGCTGGTCTCCGTTCTTTTTTGTAGCTTAAGTCTAATTTTTTTGGCTAATTTTCGCCAGTGATTCGGCCTGAATTAAATATAAAACTTATGGCTTCCTCTCAAATTATGAAACCTTTCTCTTTTCAAAACTTTGAATTTTCCAACACTAGAAACAAAAGTGGAGTGCTTCCGAATAACGTTTTGTTTTTAACTAAATTTTCATCTTTTATCAACTCTAACTTCAATTAACATAAAACCCTACTAATTGGTACCAGAAAAAGCAAATAACATTTGTAAGTCGCCTGTCATTTTGAGGGCTGAATCATAGCTAATTAAAACTTGGAAGTTACCTATTGATTTTCCTTCAACGGATGTTGCTGAACGTTAACACTAAAACTATTTCCAATTCGAATCGTGTACAGTAGAGCTATAGTCATGATCCTATATAGTTTTTGTTTGCTTTCCTTTTTCCCAGCTATTTGCTTTATCATTATGAACTCAGAAGAAAATGATTCACAACGGAATGTCACGGAAACCTGTCAAAATCCTTGGGGCTACCTGCACTGGAGTGGACTTTGATCTCAGAGGACAGGAGCAGGATATAAACGAACAGGGATATAGACGAAAGGGTCTCTCTTTATACAAAACGTAACGTTTAAACGCTGGTTTTCCCTCCAGCCAAAAATATTTTTCTTTTCTTCGCTGCAAAGTGTTGGTATGATGCGTAGGCCCATTATGGGACGTAGAATTTTTACTTCAACTGGAAGAATTACATTCTTATTTATGAAGTAATATCTGATATTTCATCTAAGTTTATCTGGTATAAAGCCACCTTAGCTTACAGGAGACAGCAACAAAGAATAGGTTTGGCTCAGGACGAGGTGAAGAAAATATATTGCAAATGAAGACCTAAGATTGTTAAAGATGCACAAACTGTGACAAAGGAGCGCAGCTCTTGTGACAATTATGACAGTCAAGGTAGTCAAATTATTCTTGTCTAACAATACCTGATAAGGCTTGGTACCCAACTGCTGTTTAGAAACTTTCAGTATACAAGAGAACTCTGTTGGCTTTGCTGTAGACATTTTGACTTTCTTGTTGAATTCGACTGACTCTAAGATCTAACACAAACCAAAGGAAGGTTAGCTTTATCACTCTCAGTTCACGGTGGCCAATTTACGTTATCAACTCAATTGATAATACTAAATTACCCTGTTATACTCTTCCACCGACGCAACCCCACAGTTTCTTTAGAAACTTACCCCTTTATTTAAAAAAAAAAAGGTTACATCGGTGCAATTAACGCTTTAACCGCTACAAGTGTTTGGCTTCTAGTTTCTCCATACAATGTCACCCTTGAATCAAATGTATAGGTTACGAGAACAAAGGAAATGATCACCAATTTAAGAAGCTCCCGATTGCTAAACAAATTCTCCTTTTCAGTAACATAAGAAACGTAAAGAGAAAAGTGTAAAGAATATGAATACTAACGCTAGGGTGTAAGAGGCTACGGGGGGAAAAATAGCGACAACATCAACTAAAAGTAACACTGAAGATAAGCAAATCTTTAGCAGTTGTAATGACTTCCCTCTGGTCTAACACCCAGTCACAGGATGTCGCATCTAACTGATTTGATTTATAGAGTACCGAGATAGACATGTATCAAAGAAAGGCCAAATATTTGTTTCAACTATCTGAGAGAGCTAATAATCATCTTGGTGAAAAAGATACCAGTCTACTAAATTTGAAAAGGTCCTCCCTTATCACTGAAGGTTCTAACAAGTACATGCACATGGTTTCACTGCCCTTTTCAGGTAAGCTTATCCATTAATTTTTTTTCTTCTATCTTCTTTCTTTTTCCTTCTTTTATTTTTCGTAAACCTCACGCGTTGCGGCTGCTAATGACACAAATGCAACATCTCTGGCACCTTCTCTGTATAACTTTAGACTTACCTCTAATAAAAATGGTGCAACCGGTATGTAAGTGTCTGTGGCCTGTGATAGAAGGTTCAAGGAACGAACACAGTGAAACCTCAGAGGATAAAATCTTGCCGCAGGAATGAGCCTACAAAAAAACAGGATATAAATAAAACACTGATGCTGAAGTCACTGGTGAACAGTACCTGTTACAATACCACGATAAATTTATTAAACTCTTTCCTTCCGATCGCTTTGCAGGGCTCCACATAATGGACAAGGGTGCCTAAACTCAGACGCTAGCCATTGTCTAAAAATGGTAATTGGACATTAGAGTCTGACAAAAAAAGACTTCAGTGTCCTAAATCAGACACTAGAGTCCAAAATCGGACATTAGCGTTCAAAAAATAGTAATCAGACACTACGTCTAAAATTGGACATTAGTGTCCAAACAATGGTAATCAGAAGCTAGTGTCTAAAATGGGTAGCCTGCAGAACCAATGTTAATTTTTTGGCGTTTTCAGCGAACGGAGGCAAGCGCGAGGCGAGCGCGAAATGCGAGTCACGCACGAAGGGAGAAGCGTGAAAAATGTAACGCCTGTACCCATACTATCGTTTAAGCTCTTCCGCCCCCAGACACACCTCCAATTACCAACCAATCACAGCGTTCAATAAAAGTGGCGTGGGAGCACTTTTTTTGTAGACCGCACGCGGGACCGATCCTGGAGCGACAACCGGTGAAGATCGTCCTAGGGCCTAGCTATAACATAAGATGTTGGATGTTGACAGCAAATACTGGTAAAACTCCCACGAAAACATAGGCCAACCGCTCAACTTCAGGAAATACTTGTAGAACCAGCTTTGCACCGTGTTTATCTGAATGAAAATGTCAATCAGGTAAATTCGATCTCGCCTTGAGAGTCTATTCTCGCAGAAACCTGCCAAAATGCTTCATTTTTGAGCGGCAATCGAACTATGACAACGACGCAGAACGGCGAAGACTACAAACAACGTGAGGAACGGAAAATATAAAAATATATTACTCAGCTGCTTACTTGATTGCTCCGATGATTGTTTGAACCAAAGGATAAATAAGTGGTTGGAGTACTCCACTGCCCTTCACTTCACTTATAACACGACACCAAAGATGAAGACAGTGAATATACTGCCAGTTATATACTGACTGGTATGAATCCTATGGGATACGGGATAAAAAATAATCAACAAAGCATAAAAGATCGGCTTTAAAGGGCACGTAAGCGGTGGAACAGAAATATTGCGCAACACGGATTCCACAGCAGAATTGGTATGGTGGCTTGTGCAAGCAGCGGGCGTTCGGATGTTGTTTTGTCAGCAGAGAGTGACTCGATTGTCTTAAACCATCGAATCACGTGTATTTATCTCTGATTCGCACCGAGACTAATCGTGTACTGAATTCCTAATATTTCAGTACGTTCGGCTCTACAAAACTTTATCACCAGCACATTGAAAATTATCACCACGAGCTTAGAGATTCAAAAGAAGGAAAGACATCATTTTGTACCTTCTTTTTCTGCAGAATGGCATTCCTAAGATGAATGGCAAGCTGCCTGATATACACAAATCCATACTGATAACTAAGATGTTCATCCAAACTAAATATCTCCACAAGCGAGTTCTGCATAAACGCGATGACGGGCTTGGTCTTTGGCGACATAAACTTTGCATTCTTCACAAAATTCATGTACAGTTGCTGAAAGATTAAAGCACAGATCTTTGCATCAGGCTAAGTACATTTAGTGAAAGAACTATTTCTATTCTACTACTACTTTTTAGCAATAAACAGAGGCATCAATTAAAATGTTTACAACTCATAACGTTCGGTTTGTGAAATGGGGAGAAAACTTCCATGACACCAACCAAGGAAACCGTGAGAGGGATTTCCGTTTTTCGTAAATGATATCCGCAATGGCTTCCGACGTAATGCGTATCAGCAAAGCTATGATAAGTAAACTCGATACCCAATAAGAATATCGAAGAATCCCCAAACGATTTGAAAACCAAAGCCTCAGGTTTAAATTTATGCAGAAAGTTCATTTGTGCGGTGAGATTTGATACCCGATTAATTTGCTCAAAGAAACATCGTCCGTTTTGAATTGTCGCGAGCCAGTCGGTTTACGATTGGATCAAGCTGAAACGGAACAATTTTGCCAGATAGCGCATTTCGTTACCTTTCAATCTCTAAATAGTGTATGGTGCTCACGCTTTAAATAGCTCGTCAACAATATTTTTCGCGAAGGTCTACCGTATCCTTAAGTGTGTGATTAAAATCAGAACATATTAAGTAGAATTGATCTAATAAACAAACAAACCTTAACAGTAAACTCCAGAAGTGCAGCAGGCATCATGGTGGAAACATTTCTGATCCCTAGAAAAGCAAGGACTCTGACGTGTTCTTCACCGCCACTCCACATCCTAACAAGACGCTGAAATAGAGAAGATTAGAGCAGTTTTCAAGTGAGTTTCCAAATCAATCTTGGTTTTGCTTTAATACGCTCTAGAGAGCTTATTCCCGATATCAGTTAGAGTTGTGATCGGAATTCGCTTATGCCTCCCAAATGCCACAGACAATTAACTTTCTAAAAGGTTTGGCCACTGCAGTTTATCGGTGTTGAAAAGTCGAAACTTACGCAATTTAAGTAAAAAATGCCCCAAATTACACTTGTCAAAAAAAGTCATAACTGAATACAATATGCAACGAGCCTCACACATGCACATTGTGAAGTACTTTTATAAGGTAATGCATGACAAGTTCGTTTGATTTTTAGTTTGGGAGAGGACCCTCATGACTGTCAATTCAGTGCGAGCATTTCTTTTCTTGCGGGCAAGTTGAGGCACTCTCGATAAAAACACACTGGTTTGAATAGCAATTGTCGTAATAAAAGTTTCAGACAAAAAAACTGGCACTCTTCATAACAATTACGTCCATGACTAACTGATTTAATTGTAATAACTGTTACATGTCGGAGACAAAAAACTGCACTGCCAAGACTGCAGTTTTACCTTAATAAAAGCCTTGGCCACTTTGGGAAAGCAGGCATAATATGGCGTTAATTGCTGTGCATGTCGCAGAATTACACACAACATGGATGGCTCTGTGAGGGTCCGCAACAACTGTTAGGAAAAAACATGACAATGTTGAAAAATGTTTATGAGAACACTACAATGTGATTCCTGAGATTATCATTGAATGATGAGTTTACTTACCTGTAGGACATCACTAAGATAGTGCTTTAAAGGTGTCTTCACTTGAGACCACTTTGTGTGTGAAGAGGGTAGAACTCTGCAGTGTAAAAACCAGAGAGTGGAAAAAAACTCTTTCTTGGAAGGTGTCATTTGGCTAGTAGCGGTCTTGTCAGTTGACTGAGTTGATTGACTGACTGATCCAATAACCAACTGACTGACTGACTGACTCAATAACTGACTGACTGACCCAATAACTGACTGACTGAATGACTGACTTACTGACTTGCTGATTAACTAATTGAGCAACTATTTGAATGATTAACTGACTGGCTGATTAACTTGCTAACTGACTCACTGACTCACAAACTATTTGAATGACTAACCTACTGACTGACTGACTGAATGACCCAGTAACTGACTGACTGACTGACTGACTGACTGACTAACTGAGTGATTATTTGAATGATTAGCTGACAAGCTGACTGACTAGCAGACTGACTGACTGACTTGCTAACTGTCTCAATCTATTTGAATGACTAACTGACTGACTGAATGACTGACTTATTGACTGACAACCTGACTGGCTGGCTGGCAAGTAGCCTGACTGACAGCCTTTTACAAACCTCTTTCCATGTCTATTGTGTGTCCCTCCAACATGGTGGAACAGTACTGAGTAAGCATGTTTCAAACAAAGCTGAACAATGGCATTGAACACTGGAAAAGAAATCAATGAAAATACACACATGATCATATTGAATTTACACTCTGATCTGACCCTGCAGAGAGCTGTAGGATTAAGGAAAAAGGCCCCTGTTTTGGACTATAATCCCATCAAGAATAGTATCTTTAGTGCTATGTGTGCATAACAGAAACCAAGCCAATTAAGATGTAACACTAATGAGTCACTAGGTTGGTAAAACTCAGCCCTTAGCCTCTAAAAATTAATTACGCAATTGTCATAAGAAACTTTTTTACCTGTATCTCCCTCTACTTTGAATTTCAAGGGTGTCTGTGTTTTGCTGTCATCAACAGTACCAAGGGCCCCGTGTACAGCAGAACGGAATGCTTGCAGAGATTTTTTCAGAGCATGAAGTGAATTTTTCTGAAAGCAAGCAACACAGCTTAATTAAAACATAAATAACAGTAAATTTAGCAGCAGTTCACTTTTCGTAGGTACATCAATTCATTTATTTGAGTGCCTAGTTAGAGATTAGTCACCTTTGGATCAATGGTATCCATTATCTTGAGGATCTCAATGAGGTGATGGCTCTTACGATCAAAGGTTAAAATTTTGGACTTCTCCAGGCTAATGGTTAATTTCTTTCCTTTATAATTAAAAGAAATTTTCTTACGGGCAATTTTTTTTCCAACTTACAGTTCAAATGTGTCCATTTATGCCTAACAGCTAAAGTTTTTGTTGTTTTACAGCTAATGCTTAACCATTTAACTCCCACAAATGACCAAGACAGAATTTCTCCTTACAATATCTATACAACATCAACCAGATAAGTGATGAGAATTAAGAATGAGATCAATTTGGGGATAATAAGTTGATCCAATACTAAATTCTCTGAACTCACATTATAAGAATTGTATAGTTGACAGTGAGGAGAATTACAAATTTGATCTGGGAGTTACAGGGTTAACTCCATTGACACCTTCTATCACATACACCATTTTATTAATTTCCTACAGGGCATTTCATTTTTTCAAAGGAATTTTGGGTAAAATGGGAAGCAAAGAAATGAGCAAAGTCAAAAACAAATTTTCCTGTTTTGAAAAAGCTTTCAACTAAGTTTTAGTTGAGTAGTGCTGACAGAACAGTGCATTCCATGAACAATTGTAATAAAGCACAGCTTCAAATTTTAAATAAAAGTACCTCTAGTCCTGCTCTCCATCCTTTGATCATATCCAAAGAAACTTTTTGGCCTTCATTCGCATCTTTATTTTCTTCATTTCTATCATCCAGGCCATCATCCTCTTCACTGTCATCAGACCCATCTCTCTTTGCTTCACTCTGCAAGGGTCAAAATTAAATAACTGAGTTAGGTCAGGCTGGACGATATATCTCAAAATTAACACTGATATATATTAAAGGAGAAGAATCTCAAAGAGCAGAAATTAAAATGATTTTGTTCTTTAGATTATAATTCTCATTATTCTCCATAACAGAGTTTATGGTCAAGGATACTTGGTTATTTCATTCTGTCTGTGGCAAAAAATTACATCATGTTTAAAAGAACTCTCTGGGCAGTACACATGGTATATCACTATTACATTTATTTAATGTGGGTGTTAGAATATTTGATCATTTTGGATTCGAGGCACTTTGGGCCATGTCCATTCAAACATTCAAAGGCTGTTTTATCATAAGAAACTTCAATAAATTACACTACATTGTGCAAGAGAAATTAAATGTGGTGTTATGAAGTACATGGATTCAACTTGCACACCCTTATTGAAGTCCATGGTACAGCGCTAAGCCTTTGATGAAGGAAAATCATTTACAAATAGAGTGACAATAACACCACAAAGTTTTCCTACTTCACTCCTTCCTTTATCATCATCATCGCTGTCTTCTTCATTTTCCTCGTCATAATCCTCATCCATATCACCATCGCCATCATTACTTCCTTCCATTTCTGAGCCAGTATCTGAGTCGTTAAATTCCAACAACTCCTTATCATTTTCTTTCAAGAACTTGTAGAACTCAGGATCCTTTTCTTGTAATTTTTCCAACTGTTTCTTGTGGTCTGCACTTTTAGATTTTCTGTTGAGATTTGAGTACTGCTATCAAATTAAGCTCGTCATAATTAAGTCACTTTAATCTTCATAATGCATGTAACGTCTCATTCACGTATACCGTGAGGCTCAGGGTTATTTTCTAGATCTCTAGTTAAAAATAAAACATCCAGAAATTACTTTGTGGGTAAACGAGCACCATTTTGAGGAACTTTTCCAGGTAAAGGACTTAATGTGTTATCCTCCGGCAAGCTTTCTTCGTCGTCACTGAGGTCTGAATCAAAGCCGTGCATCATAAATTCCTCCGCATCCATGTCACACAACCTTCTGTTAATCCAAAAAAAGAGCATACTTTAGATCTTAGAGGTAAATCTTTCTCTAAATGAAGCAGAGCTTGCACTTACCGCTTCTCTGTGTCCGCCATGTTGTGATTCGAACCACGTGGGAAAATTAAACTCGACCAATGTACACTATACTTTCATTTATATAACAATAAAATTACTCCTGCGCGTACTGCTGTCTAGGTAAGACTGTGGGCGAAGGGATGAGATAGCACAGTACAGATTCTTTCATTGGATAAAGGTTTTTCAGTTTTATCCAATGACTACTTAGTTTAGAAATCAAGCACTGGATAAGAGAAAGAGTGTCAAGATGGCGTCTGAGGTTTGTTATGTAGTGTCCAGATTATATGTGATTTTGGTGATATTTTTGAAGAATACTGAAAACTGATTGTCTTCCTGTAAAGCTTGATGACGCTGCTGTGGAGAAAGATAAAGAATTGCGACAGAAAAGGGTACAGTATTATATTATTGCGTTGGTTTGAAGAGTAAAAATCAGTACGTTTTGCACCGTCATCCCATCAAATTTTACGTATCTTTTCTCGATAGATCAACACTGCAGTGAAGTTTCTTCAAAATCCGAAAGTAAGGGAAACTCCAGTGTCAGCACGTAAAGCGTTTCTTGAGAAGAAAGGTATTGATAACGTTACGAAATCATAATGTATGACCGTAGTGCTGCTGTTGTATGCTAAGTTTTCTGCCTAACATTGACTGTATTCAGATGAAGTACAGAAGAGAGGTCTGGTCACTAAACGTTAGTGACAAAAAAATACACACTCCTAATTTTTTTTCACAGGATTGTCCAAAGATGAAATAGAAGAAGCGCTTAGAATATCAGGAACAGCAACTGATGAGGTAATAATATAATGCTGATTGCAAATTTATTTATTTTGGTATCATTTTGTCTAGCATCAGTCAAAGCAAAACTCTTTAAATTTTTTTGGCGTACGTTATCCTTTGTACTTTAGATATCAGGGCCATCAAATCCCCCACCTCCATCTCCGAGAGGTACCAAGGTTCCACCTTCAGGGTGAGTTAACAATTTTTAAATGGTTGCTTGTTTGGTAAATTTATTTTGTATATTTCCATGCTATCCTTTCCCTTTTGAGATTGTTGCTATAGGTGAGGTGTATTTTTATGCTGTGATCAATCTTTAACCTTTCCAAGATCTGATTGTTTATTCTTCCCTTAAGCTGGTTAACACACGTCCTTGTAAATTGGTCACAATAATTTAATTTTAGATCAAAATAAAGACATCACCCTGATACAGTTGATTAATCTCATTACCTGTTTGCTGGAAAAAGTAAGGATATTAAAGGGAGAAGTTACATTTCAATAACTTCTGGGAGTTAAGCCTTTAACTCCCATAGGTGACCAAGACACCTCCAGGAAGTGTTACTGTATATTTACAATATCTAGCAGACAAGTCACAAGAAGAAAGAAAAATATCAATGATTGGACTAGTTGTTGATTGAACAACAAATTCTCGAAACTAACATCATAAGAATTGTATGGCAGATAGTAATGAGGATTATTAATCAGATCTTGGGAGTGAAAGGGTTTAAGGGTGAATGTACTAATGTGTATCATGTATTGTTGTTTTTAAGTATCTTTCAAAAATGATGTTTAAACTATGTATTTTACCAGTCACGCCTCAGGGCTGCCTCTACCTCCAATGCCATGGAGAAGTTATGTTGGAGCTGCCATCTTAGGAGGAGGAATTGGATATACACTAGCTCATCTTTTCAAGGTAAATCCACAAATCTTATTTAATTACTTACCACTGTAAAATTTTAAGTCACCTCTCCTTGGAAATAGAATATTGACAAAGTCCTTCAATTATGTACGATTTTAAGTCACCTCTCCTCAGAAGTAGAATATTAACAATGTCCTCAGTTCAAGGATTTTTTTCTCTTGCCCTACTTTTTTTTTATTTTTAGAAATAATTTTGCAATAACATAAACTTTTAGATGTTAAAAATAATTTGTGAGTACTAATTGTAGTATTGCCTACACCATAGAGACGTTGTCAGCAGGTTACATTCAGGGAACATGCATTTACTCCATGCATTGCCCAAGGGGGGAAGGCAAGGTTGAAGCTTTAAATTTATCAGCGCATTATGCCTTTTGGGTTCATGGGTTCTGATGTCCTTTGGTTTCAGTCAGTGCTGCTGGTCACCACCTTTTTTTGTTTAAAAAATAGAATTGATCGTTGTTGCACAATTATGTTCTTTTTTATAGACATTTGTTCTGCCATACTTTTACCACACAAAAAGTAAAGAGGAAGAGAAACTAGAGAAAATAGAAACTACTGTGACAGAACTAAAAGGCAACATGGAAGGGAGAGGTACATATGTATGAACTTGGACATTTCATCAAGATCCAATGAAATTTGATCCTAACCCTCACCCTAAGTCTCAACCATTCACTCAACTTGTAGCATTTGTTCATCAAGAATGACTTAAAGAATGAATTAAACTGCTTGTATTCTTTTGTTGTAAATGAAGTCTATATTGTTCATGAGGGGATATGTAGTTCACTAGTTTCTAACTGAAACTAGTGTGGTTTACTCCATTTCTATCGGTTTAATGCACAATTTAATCAGTAGATTTAATTAAGTCATAAACCAAGTCACTAGGAAAAAGAAATTGTCCAAAACAAATTTAATAATCTATCGTGAAAATTCAATTTAAATCACAACAGAAAACAGGTGTAGCTAACATTTGTTTCTAATTTTTCTTCTTTTGTTTTTATCTAAGTACAAAAAAGCTTGGAATCTGTGGAGGTGAGTGATACTTATATTTGAAATTGGGTAACATGTTCTCTTACAAGTTCAAAATAGCATTCAACTCAGTAAAACTTGTTGGCAAGTTATAGATGACTGTTGAATTTTTCATGGCTGACTATCAAATGTGCATCAATAGGAGTCTATTTGTTTCCCTTATTACCAACCTCATCTTCTCCACACACAGTTTATTATTTTTTTTAATTATTTGTAGGGTCTTCTTGAGCAACAGCAAAACAAACTTCAAAGTTTAGCTCTTGACCTAGCTTCCACTCAGGTAATTCAAGAAAAAGTTCACTTAATATTGGTAATATTTATTTTTTAACTTTAATTGATTAAAGCAGATCATCTCACAGAGCATTAGCCAGGGTAGGGAGTTATGAGAAACCTTGGTGCATCTAAAGGTTGTGGCCCTCTTTCCTCAGCACTCTATCCCTGTTTCCCTTGTAGTAGGATGTGTCTGATCACAAGTGTTTCATATTTTCAGAATGGGGAATGGTAAACAATAATTAAGCCCCTGGTTTTAGCCTTATACATGGCAGAGTGGTCATATAAGTAGAGCGGCTTTTTGCCAAAATAGTAACACAGTAATAGCTGTTATGCAATTAACTGATCAAATTTGGACAAAAATTAATGACTTCTACAAGGGTAAGCATACAAGGAAAAAAAAAAGAAAAGAAAAAAGGCAAGCAGGCAACAACAACAAAATTAATGTTTCAGTATTTGAAATGTACTTTACAGCTGTATCTCTGAGAGAGAGAAAAAACAACTTTTGGTTTGGAAAAATTAAAAAATGTATATAAATGTAATCTTCATTCTTGGCTCTTTCTGTTACTTTAAACTTGTGATGATCCTTTCTCTATATCCAGAACACAAAGCACTCAAACTGTTTGACTCCTGTTTCTTTTTTTTTTTTTTACAGTCTAAGGTGGCCCTGTTACCATCTGAAAGTTATACTGTTGGGGATTTGAAAGGGGAGATTCTTTCACTGAAAGGTCTTCTCCTGAACAGGTGAGCAGAACACAAACAAGTTACTGGTAGTGTAATCATGAAATATTGAATTTTCTATTTGTGAATTTGTTACCCTTTTAACTCCTTACACCCTGACATCAGTATCCATTTTCTCCAAACTCTTCTCTATACATTTCCTTTGACACCGGCAAGGAGAATTTGTGTAACAATCAAAGTTTCTTAGGTTGGTGATCATTTCCTTTATTCTCATGATGTCAAAGAATCATTCAGTAGTATTACTAAAAGGAGAAATTAGATGCTGGTCACTGTTAGAGATTAATAGTGTCCTCATTGTACTCAGTTAGACTAAACATGTACATGTAAAAGCATCAAGGGATTACTCCCAGAGAAATGCCTTCAACTGAATATTAAATCTTGTTTTGTGTAGGAAACAGTTCCCATCTCCAGTGATGGGCTCCACCCCAGGTGCTCCAAGCATTCCAGCATGGCAACGGGCTGTTACTTCAACAGAACGAACAAGGACAACTTCTTCCCTAGCTGACTCATCTGAAATGCCTGTTTCCACTGAGTCATCAGACAGCAAAGAGTTGTCCAAAGTTTCTTCTTTTGAGCAAAGTGCTATGAATGGTAGGTCTGATTTTTTTTACTCAAATCTTTGTGTATTCAATTTTGCACTTGACCTGGAAAATTGATTGTTTGATAAAGATTTCAAGTATGCTACTTTCAGTTGAATTATCTTAAATCTCAATTTGCTGTAGCAGGGGTGATGAAAATAATTGTTCCATAAGGCAATCTGTTGTAGAGATTCATGGCTAGTATGTTGTCTGAGTTTTAACAAGGGCTTGATGTCATTATGGTGTGTTCATGAGCTAGACACTTCTCTCTTATGGGTGCTTCTCTCCTCCCAGGAATAAATAATTGGTAACAGAAAATCTTGAGGAAATGCATGGTAGTCACTTCAAGTTACAATGCTCCCACCTCCCATGCAAGGCAAACTGTGTATGCTCCAGGGATATGCACGACAATGTTTGCAGGCAGCACCTTTACCTTCCATAAGGAGTATCCCTTAACTCTGATTGAAAGATTGAGAGATTTATTTGCACTACTTTTTTTTGCTTCAGGTGAGTTATCCAAACATTTTGACAATGTTGAAAAAGGGGCTAGTATAGAAACACATGAGGTTGTGACTTTAGAGGATAGTCCTGCCAACCAAAGTGGTACATCTAGTAGTGGAACCGAATCTGCCACCACACCCAAGACTGTAGTTGCAGCAAATGAGTTAAGTCTCAATGATGCCATGCTTAATGACACAAGTGTTATTAGTTCAGAT